AAATGTGATGTATTTGCGCAATACATTTCGAACAATCTAATCACACATTTACTTGTCAAGTCAATTTATATATGAAAATTAAAGGTCAAATATAGTGAATATGAAAAGGTTGTGACACTAGTCTTGGTAATATAATCAGATAAGGATTACCAAAGTAAATTAAGTGAAACAACAAATTGTTTTTGTACACACAGTGGGGGATTAAGTTTGTGATTGGCTAACACTTTAGCCATTTTCATATATAAATTGACCTGACAAGTAAATGTATGATGAGATTGTTCGAAATGTATTGCGCAAATACATCACATTTTTCAGATAATCTTCATCTTCTAATAGCGTTATCGAAATTTATTAAAGGGACTAATTGTTTCAAATTTTTGAAAAGAAGACTCACTGCTTGCACTGTTAAATGGTTAGACGAACTGTTCAACCTCAAGTGCAAAATAGCATCTGAAAAAGTGGAACTAGAATTTTATAAATCATGTAGATCTAATCACACATTCCCAAGACCATTCTATAAATCGTTACGATGTTCAAAATTACATCCTAATGTCTCAAATCTTATTCGTCTTACGAACTCTCATATTAACAGTTGCAGCGAGAAGTTGTGCCGATTAATTGAACTTCATGTATCTGCTTCTTCTGTGCTGTCTGACATCTCTCTAGTTTGTCATATCAAATTTATCAATTTTTGTAGTTCAGTTATGATTAAAACGAAGGTGGAAGCTAAAGAAAAGTTATTGAAATCGTGTATCAGTGACCTTCACATAGAGTCATTTCCAGTAAATCCAGATAAATATGTGACGAACTTGTCTTCAGTTGAACTTTCGGTATGTGAGAAAGAATCTCTTTCCCTTGGATTTAATTTTTCTGTCCCATACCATCATAACAATGATTTAGCCATCGATGCCCATTTCGAAAATTTATATGATCAGTTAACTTCTCTAGTCCCTACCTCTTCGGACAACCAGAGTTGGTTGAAGGCTAAACTAGTTGATATAGCCCATCAATTCCATAACCCAGGTCCGAAACAGAGATGCATTTTAACTACGCAACACTTCAAGTCCCTGAAAAACTTACAGAGGAATCCTGATGTGATAATTCTTAAGCCTGATAAAGGATCAGGTGTTGTGTTGATGGACAAAGTAGACTACAAAAATAAAATGTTGTCTATTCTTTGTGATAAAAGTAAATTCTTGGCAGATGTTCCGTCAGAGGATATAAGAAAATTAGAAAGAAAAGTAACAACTAGTCTAGTTAAACTCCTTAACACGGATGTCATTGCTAAAGCGGAGTTTAATTCCTTGAAACCCATGGGATCTAATTTCCCAAATCTATATGGACTTCCAAAAATTCACAAAATTGATAATCCACTACGCCCAATATTGTCAATGTGTCAGTCTCCCACACACAAATTGGCGAGATGGTTAGCCGAATTACTGAGCCCGATTCGTAATGATTTATGTAAGTATTCACTGAAAGATACGTTTGAACTTGTTGATTATCTTACTGATTTGAATATTAAAAATAAGAAAATGTATTCTTTTGATGTTAACTCTCTGTTTACAAATGTGCCTCTAACGAAGACAATTAATATTCTTTGCGACCACATATCTTCGAATTATCCTTCTTTCCCTATTCCTTCAACTTATTTGAAAGAACTGCTTTTATTATGTACTGATAAGGTTCATTTCACTTTCGAAGGTGAACACTTTCGGCAAATTGATGGTGTAGCCATGGGGAGTCCATTAGGACCGTTATTAGCTGATGTATATATGTCACATACTGAACTAATGGCTCAAGATCTAATCACCAATGTCACACTCTATAGAAGGTATGTGGATGATATCTTTGTAATATGTGACACAGATGAGGATGCCAAGAGGTTGTTAAAAAGGCTTAATACCGTACAAGATCATATCAGTCTGACATGTGAGGAAGAAAAAGACCATCAACTTGCATTTCTTGATATACTCTTGTGCCGGAGGGAAGATGGATCTATAAGACGATCAATATATAGGAAGCCTACTTGGACAGGACAGTATTTGAATTTCCATAGTTTTTGTCCGATGAAATATAAGAGAGGCTTGGTAAGATGCTTGTTCAATAGAATCCAACGTATTTGTACATCTGATACGATGGATGATGAGAATAAGTTTCTGACAGACACTCTAGTGGAAAACGGTTATCCATTACAGTTTGTCAACCATTGTAAAAAACAGTTGACCCCAAAGCCTACAGTTTCCTCGGTCCCGAAGAAAAGCATATTTCTTAAAGTACCATACAGAGGGGAAACAAGTAGTATGATATTGAAGCAGAGATTAAAATCTGTTATCAGTAAAACATACTATGCAGCTCAGCTTATCATTGTTGAGACGACAAAACACCTGCTTCGCCACAAACCTCAACCTCGCACAAATGATTACATCACATCCCACTGTGTTTACCAATTTACATGTATGTGTGGGCACACATACATAGGGAGGAGTAATCGTTCAATGCAGACTAGGGTGGGTGAACACATCCCCAAATGGCTAGAAAAACAGTTTAACACACAAACTTTGATAAGTGCAGGTGACAGACATCCATCGTCATCTATAGCAAAACATATTATTGAAATGAATCACAGGGTTAATACGAAAACAGCGTTTAAGATATTATACAGGAATAATCAGGGGCGCATACTGAAGTTTGCCGAAGCGTTAGCCATTCGTAAACTTAATCCCCCGCTGTGTGTACAAAAACAATTTGTTGTTTCACTTAATTTACCTTGGTAATCCTTATCTGATTATATTACCAAGACTAGTGTCACAACCTTTTCATATTCACTATATTTGACCTTTAATTTTCATATATAAATTGACTTGACAAGTAAATGTGTGATCAGATTGTTCGAAATGTATTGCGCAAATACATCACATTTTTCAGATAATCTTCGTCTTCTAATAGTGTTATCGAAATTTATTCAGCGGACTAATTGTTTCACGTCGTCTATGATATCTGGATAAGTCTGCTTGTGCATGAAGCGTTGTGCGTTGTTGTAATTGGAGTGAAGATGATATCCATGTGTGGTTACGTCTTGGGTGTAAAGAGTGTATGAATTACATTTTGAAATTTGTTTGTATACATGTGTTGATGGTTCTCATTGTATGTAGTATGTTGGTTATGTGAATATGTGGGGTGTGGGTTGTGAGAGCAGGTCTATTTTTTCTTTACTGGTATCCCAGTTAATGATAGTCTAAATATTATTTCCAAATTATTAGACTCAGAGACTACACTGACAGAAAGATGTTCATTGAATACCAGTGACATAATCGGGGCCCTAGAATTCTGCTTACGGACTACTTCACTTTTGAAGGAAAACTATACAGTTAAACTAACGGTGTTCCTACGGGTTCATGTGTTTCACCCATAGTAGCTAACCTGTCGATGGGTAAATTCGAAAAAGGGATTTCTTCTCACTCACGAAAGTCAAAATTTTGGCTGAGGTATGTTGATAACACATTCGTAATTTTAAAACGTGATTTATTCCAGGAATTCTTAGATCAGCTGAACTCTGTGTTGTAACCCAGTATGAAGTTCAACTCAGAAAAAGAAACGGATAAGGGGAAACTGCCTTTCCTTAATTGTCTTGTTAAGAGGAAAGAAAATGGACATTTAGGTATAACCATTTTCAGGGAAGCAACGCATTCGAACAAATAGTTAGATTTCAGCTCATCACATCCATCAAATGTGAAAGTTTCTGTTGTCTTCAGTGTTTTAAGGGGAGTAGGCACTCTAGTGACGAATGATAATGAAAGAGTTAAGGAATTTAAGTATGTGAACAAGGTAATTGAAATGAATAGTTATCCGGTGAAATCCACCCACAAAATAGAAAATAACATTAAATTAGATCATAGAACTACTTCTAAATCATGGGCCTCAACAATAGTTATCCCTTAAAAATTACACACACATATCGGATGAAATTACAAGAGTTATAAAGAAATACAATATCAGAGTGTTCTAGAGAACATCAAACACATTGCAGAGCGTCTTAGTTCATTTGAAGGACAAGATCCCTCTAGATTCACAATCTAATTGTGTTTATAAAATAAAATGCTCAGACTATGATGCAGTATACATAAGACAAAATTGGAAGAAATGAACACCGAAGAGCTTCCACCCGACTCCTAAGAAATCCATCGGGGCTGAAAAAACTTGAAGACACTTCAGCCATAGTTCTAGATGCTATAATTTCAGGTCACAAGATCGATTTTGACAATATCGAAATTATTCAGAAAGGCTTTGGAAATTATGAAGAAAGTCTCATAGCAGAATCTCTTCACATTAAGTGGAATCAAAATTGTCTAAACAGGAATGAGGGAGTAAAACGTAGTTTTACCTGGTTTCAACCCACCCCCACATACATTGCCAGCATAACCAACATATATGCAAATCTCAATCTGTAATTCACGCACAGCAGCATACTATATATAGATATCACCTTAATTCTACTATTGTGACAGCGCAGAATCAATTGTTCATGTAGAATAGCACTTGTTCAGCTATCAAATATAGGCTTATGGGGCATCGTAAATTCTGGTTTACTATAACTTTGATAAAGCTATTAGCACTAAGTAGCGAAATATCGGTTGAAATAAATTTATTTTGTTTTAAATTCATTGAAAAGTACTAAGTACCAAAATGATGTACATATTGGTCTTACAAGTTATCACTTCCATCTCGAGTTAATTAGTGGTAAAAGTTCTGATGGAACCACTCAGTGATGTGGAACTGAATATGTGAGAAAGCACGGATCGTTTGAATTAGCAGACACGCTTATTCAATGAGTCACAATGTATGTATAAGAAACTTAACCTCATGATTTGCTTTGAAACTCTACTAACACAGTATTGTCATTTCACTTTGGATTGACTACTCGGTTTTAGGTATTTTTGTCCTCTTGTACCAATTCCAAAATAATTTTTACATTTCATTTTGATCGATGCATACTACAGGTCACTTGTTTAGCTGTTGATGAAGGTCTTCATTATATGGTATTGGGTTATGCAAATGGTGTACTTCAATTGTTCAGAGGAGATATTACTCGTGAAAAGTTAGTTCTGCGTTGACTTTTCGATAACTTTTTGATTTCGCATATAAATTTCTGTGTTATTTGATTTGAAAAGAAACGAAGGTTGGAGTAACTAAGTAAATTCTATCGTTTTTGGAAAATAAGTATCTTGGCTGCAGTAATTGGGTTTATCATAAAGTAGTTCATGTTTACTTGAATTGTAATAAACACATCTATGAATGAACTTCAGTAACCAAGTTCTAACTCATCTGCTATCAGTCAGACAGACAGGTACAGTCAACCCAGAAGCTCACCTTCAAGCGCATCGGTTTAAGTTGCCACTTTTACAATTGTATACACAACAGGTGGATAAAAAAATGACTGCTATCAAAGTAGGTAAAGTTGTGCGAGACAATAAACAATCTGAAGATAAAATTTAGTGCAAGTATTCAAGCTTTAGAAGACGTCAAGCAGTAAATAAATCTGCCCCCTTGTGACTGATTTCTAGCCATGTTACCAGGTGTCCTCATCCACTGATTCTTTTCGTCTCGAGGACCCTAAACCAGGTAGTCTATATCTCCTCACATGACTCAGATCAACAGTTGGGGACTTCATCGAGTGGTCTGGTCTTGGTTTTACCACCCTAGATCCTATTCCAACCTAATCCAGCTTGCCTTAGCATAGCCTGTCGAGGTAGGCGGTGGGTAGGTATGCACGATACCTGTTCAAGCTATCTTATTTGACTAAAGTTTACAACTGATTTGCTTGTCTCGCTTAGTAGCCATTGACTGACCTCAACTTTGCTCAGATAGGGATTCCGCCAAACATGAGCTTCATGTTTTCCACTTTCATCGATCATGTCTGGCAGCTGTATAACAGATGGGGCTACAGAGCAGTATACTCATCCCTTGAGAGATAGCCGGATATCTCGCTGACGCTACAGATGACGAAATTCGCCAGATGCCAGACGGGTGTTCAGCATCCAAGCTGAGATTTCTTCAGTGTCTAAGCGATTAAGTTAAATCTACATCAGAATATGATGAATTATTATTTTTTCCCTTTGGACGTTGCTTTTCGAAGTAAATACGGTATAATGGTCAAATATAGTGATAATTTAGAATGATTAATATTAAGTACCCATCATAAATTGCTATTAAAAAGGATTACTTATCTAGTTAGTCTTCGTAATCAAACTGATTATTATTTAACGTGATCGCGCGAACCAATAAACATCAACGGAAGACTTCTTGATACGCTTCCAGACATTTCAACAAAACCTTTACTGAAACTCTGAGTAATAAAGAAGTGACTTTTGAGTCTACTGATGTATGCATTACCATGTGATTCACTGGATAAAAATCATTTTAACCACATGAGACATATCATCTAATTGGTTGGTTTAACTTTTTATCACCTGAAAATAGAATTTATCAATTTTGTATGCTAAGCTAACAAGTTTTAATAACGCCTAATGTGTGATATTTTGTCTTCATAATTCGGCAGAAAAGTAGATGACATAATGATGTTTTAATTTGGAGGTGTATTCGGATTAATTTTTAATTTCAAGTCAGTATTCATCACGAACTGATATTAGCTGAAGAACCATTGAATATCTGAGAACAACGGACAGCTTTTTCGTCCTAGTATGGGACTTTTCAGCAGTGTGTGTGTGTACCCATGACCTGTCGCCAGGCATCGAATCCAAGACTTTCATTCTCTCTTCTGCCAGCACGTTTCCATTAAGTCATGATGTCTGATGATAAATGGTTAGTGCACTTGACATTTAGTTTGTTTAGTTTCTAAATTTACTGGTTTAAAGTTGAAAATCTTGACTAAAGAGTTGTCGGTAAACATGTCAAATGCTTGTCTGACTAGTAAGTTTTAATACATGAGCAAATGCTGTTTCTTGAACGTGTTGTAAAATGAAAGTATTGTTAATAATGGATTTCCTATTCTTTTTAGACAATGTAAACGTTCTGTTCTGTATGAGTTCTTATGCCCTGTCACTGGATTAGGGTTATATATTCCAGACCATTTAAGTTTCCAGCAAAAGTCTACGAAAAACTATGCAATTAATGCTACAATCTTAAATGCTAATCATTGTCAAGATCCTATAGTTTTTGCAGCCTCAGAACAAAGCTTGATGAGTTTTGTACTTGGTCAAAAGGAAAAAGTTAAGTATAAGGTAAGCTTCGGTTTATTTCACAAAAATTATGTTCGTAAGTTTACTTTTAATTACTATCTTGTAATAGTGTAGCCTATATGATTGACCATAGAGATATACTGAATATTATGAAGTTAAAAGGAGGCCTAATTCATTTTCGTAGTTTGAAATAAAACTTAAAGAAATATCCAAATGAAGTAGGAAGGCTAATTTCTGAGATTGTGCTGACGGAAACGGGAAGACAGAGAAAAAGGCAAGAATGTTTATTATTGACATGTGGTACAGTAGTCGTTAAATATGCTACACCTTACACTAAGACAACCATTTGCAAAATGTGCTTTATTTCCTCTTCTGCTTCTCTCTTGATTTGCTCTTAATACCCCCGCGTTACCTCTTGGGTTTCTCTGGGCGCAGAATCCTTACCCATTACTGGTAATTGCTTATGATTTCTGCCACCCTCTCAACGTATACTACTTATATCCATTTTGATCAGCAACACCTACTATAGTGCTACCTAATAGAAACTGCTTCTCAAAGAATAGTGCCTGTGCAGTCTAAAACAGTATGTGAAACAAGTTCAGATGAGGTAGGGAATGAGCAAATATTTATACTATTTATCATTATTTAGACGACGAAACGTGCCTATCGAGTCAGAGAAAAGGAGAGATAATTCAGCGAAAAAATCTTCTTTTCCGATGATGTCATCTCATCTACCAACAATTATCATCTTGTTAAACTCCTTACCTTCCTCGCTATTTACGCTATCTAAAAGATTATTACACAACTGCTTTCCATTCTTGATTCGTATTTTTTAGTACTTGCCCAGTGATACAATTACAAATTATTGTTCAATAATAGACTGTTATATGTTTGTGATATATACTATAAGTACGATTGTACAGCTTTAGAAAATGACATTGTTGAAGAAGAAAACTTTCTTCACTGAATTATCTCTTTTATCATTATTTTTCTAAAACACAAACTCGTTGCAGCATAGGTTCTGAGAAATCTGTCATACAAAGTTAGATAAAAAGATTGTAGAGATAAAAATGAAAACAGGTATGTCAAGAAAAGATTGAGTAGGTAGTCATTTTTTTCGGAATTGTTCAAAAACGCTTGGATTGTATTTGTACTAATCTTCACAAGTAGGGGGACATAAGAAAACTATAGCATAATTGCCACTGTTTTCTGATTCTGAGTTGTATCTGATAGGATCTCAAGTTTATGACATGTACTATCTCTTGGACCACACAAACGATCAACACACTTTAAATTGAGTCAACTATCTTTCATCCTACAGTGTCACATAATACAGTAACCATCTCTCGATTTCATGCAACAAGTTTCAAGACTGGCAAATACTGGACATTATGGGATTTGTTGGGATGACATTTGTGACATATCTAAGCCACCAAAGCCCTTGCTTTAGGAAAAATTCAGCTGCCACTAGAGGTGGTGGGTATTGATGTGTGCCGTCCTGGTTTTCATTTGCAAGTCTTCATCACATCACTAAGATTCACTCACGAACATTGATCAACAGATCATTAAGTGTGATTTGAGTAGCCTGTATGATGTCGTTCAGTAAAACTATATCATCCGCATACTGAAGGTGGTCTAAAGTCTTTCACCTGGTGAGAGATCTACTTCACTGAGCTGTGTCGAAAATGTCATCAATGGCAAAGTTAACGAGAAAGTATGACATTGGATACCGCAGTTTAACCCCACTGCTTGTTTTTGGGGACAGTGAGAAGAGGTGGAGTTGCAGTGCTAGTTGCGAGTGATTCGTCTCCATCAGTCTGTTTAGGACAAAGGTTTTGATGATCACAAGAAAGCAAAATGAACTAGTCACAGTAAAGTGTGAGGACAATCCAAACAAGAAAACTGAACTTCTCTTAGCAACCACATAGACATTAGTGCAGTGACCAACGAACCACTCGTATTTTGTGAGCGCTAATGATACTACTTGGCTGCTTAAACCTCGATAAACAGCGGGGCTCGGACCCGTGGTCCGTTAGTTAAAAGTCAACTACCTAAGCCAATGAGCCACGATTCTGTTAGTAAGTGTTGGAGGCGGATCTGTAGTCCCCAATACAACCATGTCATTGGTCGTTAATTACAATTACAGTTTCTAGTGACAGAGGGAGGATGAAACATTAGCTTTATCAAAAGCTGATGCCGTCTAGAAATATTTCGTGATTTGTACAGAGCTGCTGAAGACAGTTGTCATTACCCAGTTTGGCACCGGATAATCCCCAGTAGCTACCTGGACAACTTCCTTTTGAGCTTTGACACTCGACTTTTATACACAAGGCCCCAGATAGTTTCAAGACATTTATCGGGCTCTCTTGAGTTAATTGATGATAGAATTCATCCTTAACTATACGTGGGCTGCAGTCCGTTGGATCATTGGAAGAAATGACGAAGAAACAGTTCGTTTTGGGGATTACTTCTTATTTGAATGGACTCTGCTAACTTAAGAACATACAAACGATTGTTGGTGGAGATGCAGTCTGTTTATACAGTTTCCACCCTAACAATTAATGTGACACTAAAACTAGCAAGGATGATTGTCGATACTATTGAGTTCCTAGGTAAGTGCCTCTTAAGTACACTTTTAAGGTGATAGATGGGGAGGTTATTCGAAGCACTTCCCTTGATTCAGGTGTATAAATCTCTGAGATACGACATGGATCAATAACGAGGCTTTCTGGAGTCCTAGTCAAGCTTTTCGCTTGTTCGATTCGCATCTATGACCGAACGTTAAAGGCAAGCGGCTTAAACATTACATGATGTTTCGGAATAGTTGAGTCAGCGTTTTGGATGCTACTGTTTAGCGATTCAAAACAGTTGTGGACTAAACTTTTAAACCATAGTTAACAATCGAGTGGATTATCGATTAAGATGAAAGTAAATATCATCTCAACTGAGAGTGAAGCGCCATTTGGTGTTGTATTTCTAGGATTTTCGTTGACTTAAGTAGGTCATTCTTTCGTTTCGAATCCTGGGTCGCCCACGTTCGAAACCAAAGTTTTCCGACTTTCCCCTGGTGAACTGTATCTACTGAGGTAATGGGTTCTGCATTCAAATCCTACTCTACCTTTCATGTTTCGGCAGCCGTGTAATATTATGAACCTTTATACGATAAGTTAAGCTCGTAGCCAAATATGTAAGTCTGTACCGGATCTAGTTGCCTCAGTTCACCAGTTTATTCGCTGATGAGAACTGTATATTCTCTTTCATTACTTGATCTGGCTAGAAACACTAAACCTATGATAAGGCAATTAACAGGGCTCTCTTGATGATCTCTTGAAAGCGTAGTCGTATGAATGCATTTCTAGGGGATGTTAAGACTAATCTCATTCGCAGCCGTAGGATAAGTTCATGGATTCTGTTGATTGATAATCAGTGATTTGTAGCCAGAACTGGTTATCCTTTTTGGCGAATGCTTTTTTCTCCTGACAAATTTAACTTTTTCAATACTCAGTTTCATATTTTGCTTTCGAAAAAACACACAATAACTTCAGACTGTTCTGGATCGCTTCGGGGCTCGACCTCATTGCACAACTATGTTATTGACTGACGATGTTACGGGAGCTAGTCCTCAATTCGCTGTTGCATGTTCAGATGTAAGTTTTTAAATTATCCTCTTGAAAATATGTCATGCTTTTTTGAAAAGTAACCTAGCTGAAAACCCTTCATCCACAACTTTTTAAGCTCTTTACCACTGCTAGAAACTTTTTAAGCTACAGTCTATTACTAATTTTGTTTTCATGGAATATGTATTCCGTTTGATGAAGCCAGTCTGTTAGTAGACCATCGTCTGTTAAACACAACTGTTATTCGAAAACTTTCTACAGCTTTGTATACATGGTGACGAACCCAGAAGTGGTATCTGAGATTTCATGGTAATACTCAGTCACTCAGAGTGAAAGACTGCCAATGGAATCATTAGGCCACTGAAATACAACTATATTGTATTACATTGAATATACTCATTTAGACATTTAGAAAAAGACTGATTTAGCGAAGAAATATATTTCTCTTCAATTAGATCTTCATCTTGGGCTCTACACTAATATATAGGTTTACAATTTAATCAAATTACCAACCAAGTGGTGATGTTTCGGAAATAATGATGTAAATAATCAATAGAGTTACTAAAATTAGAAATATGAATATTGATAGAAACAAGAAGGGGAAGAGGTGTACAAAGAAAACCTAGAAGTTACATTATGTTGACGGCCACGGTAGTGAAAGTGGTCGAACAAACTTCTTTTGGATACAAAGACTAGGTTTGTGAAGGTGAATTGCAATCACCTCTGCTATGTGAAGTAACCGAGTGCGTAATCCATGAGGTAAATTAATTGGAATCTGATGGATAATTCTGAAGGCTTATCCAGTAACCACTTGATGTCCTGTGTCAACTAAGTGTGCGAGTATGGAGCTCTTTATAGTTCTAATTTGTCCCTTGTTCAACCATGATGGGTGGTGCTCAGGGATTCGACGATGGAACTGCCTCATTGTATGCCCAATGTAACTAGCTCCACAGGAGCAGTTGAATTGATAAATGCACATAGAAGTGACAGAATCAGGCAGTTTGTCTTTGTTTCTTGCACCTAGAATCGAGCGGTTCTTGTTTCTATCAATATTCATATTTACTATTTTAGTAACTCTATTGATTATTTACATCATTATTTCCGAAACATCACCACTTGGTTGGTAATTTGATTAAATTGTAAACCTATATATTAGTGTAGAGCCCAAGATGAAGATCTAATTGAAAAGAAATATACTGTATTAGTTGGCGATCAACAGAGATTCGGATAAACTATTATTTTTACCCTTACTATTATTCATATGCAGCAATTTTTGAGAAACACTGAAATGTAGTAGTGTCACAATATATTGCTGTCTGGCACTGTGATTGGAGACTCTAGGTGATATGGTTTAGAATCGATGTCAGTGGCGCAGATGTATACACAATATCCTCATCTTAACCCTCTTTTACTACTTTCTACTTCTTTCGACCGATTTTTATTTTCTTCTTCATTTTCCATTTTATTGGCTTTGTTGCCTTGATTTGCTGATATGAAGTGTGCAACTTAGACCGTTACGTAGTTATGTCTGGTCCTATCTTGATCTTTTTCCTGAGCGCCATAAGGCTACTGAAATGCGGGAAAGCAGCAGGACCAGATGGAATCCCGCCAGAAGCACTGAGAACAGACGCAGAAACAATAGCGGACATGCTCACACTACTATTGCAGAAAGTCTGGAAGGAAGTAAAGGTACCTGGTGATTAGAAGAAGGGCTACCTTGTCAAACTACCGAAGAAGGGAGACCTCAGTGTTTGCAAGAACTGGCGCGGAATCATGTTCCTGTCTACCCCTAGCAAAATATTGAGCCACATCATCCTGGAGAGACTAAAGGATGCACTGGATTCAAAACTACAACCGGAACAGGCAGGCTTCAGGAAGTACAAATCATGTGCAGACCAAATTGCAACGCTTCGCATCATCATAGAACAGAGCATAGAATGGCAATCAGCTCTCTACCTCAACTTTATCGACTTTGAGAAGGCCTTTGATAGCGTCGACCGAGAAGTAATTTGGAAACTGCTTCAGTACTACGGAATACCGCAAACCTTCATCAGCCTCATTCAACAACTATATGTAGACGCCACATGCCAAGTAATTCACAATGGGAAGCTCAATGAGGCTTTTGAAGTGAAGATAGGAGTGAAACAAGATTGCCTACTATCCCCCATAATATTTCTGATTGCAATGGACGGAAATGGACCATGCAACAAACTGTGAGGAGCGAGAAGAGGGGATACGCTGGCTGGACTGGCGAAAAGAACCTAGAAGATTTGGATTTTGCCGGTGACTTGTGTCTGATGTCACACAAACTTGAAGATCTACAGGCGAAAACTAACAAGTTGACAGAGGAGGCGGGACAGGGCAGCGAAGACGGGACATCAAGTGAATATAGAGAAGACTGAGGTGATGAAGATACTTAACCAACACACCACCACCACCACCACCAACAACAACAACAACAAGCTCCAATCATCATCAACGGGAGAAATCTAAAGGAAGTAGCATCTTTCACCTATCTAGGCAGCATCGTTTCAACTACAGGCGGCACAGATGAGGACGTCAAAGCAGCCAGGATCGGAAAAGCAAGACAGGCGTTCATTAGCCTGAAACCAGTGTGGAGATCTGCACTAAGCATATGGAACAAGATCCGAATTTTCAACACCAACGTCAAACCAGTGTTCCTGTATGGTTCAGAGACTTGGCGCCTTACGAAAGGGATTTCCAACAAACTGCAGACATTCACCAACAACTGCTTACGCTCGCTACTGAAGATCAGATTGCCAGAAAGAATCAGTAACAAGGAACTCTGGCTGGCTGGCTGGCAACGAACCAACGAAGCAAGAACCTATCGCTGAACAAATATGCAGAAGGAAGTGGAGATGGATTGGGCATACACTGAGAAGGCCGACTGGGTACATCACGTGCCAGGCCAGTCACTCGAGTGGAACCCAGATGGGAAGCGACGAGTTGGGCGTTTGATGTGAGGGTGACATGGAGGAGATCGTGCGAGGAGGAAATGAGAGCCTGTGGGCTGTCGTGGAGCCAGGTTCAAAAGATTTCAGGGAACAGAGTGCATTGGAGACGTGCTACTGAAGCCCTATGTTCCATTAGGAACCCAAGGGACAAATAATAATATAATAATATAGTGTTAATCTTCAATGATGTTGATGTCTGGGACTGGAAATTTTAAGTTTTTTTCGTGCTTCCTAATCTCTGCCTTAACCTTTTGATTTTAAATTATATTGAATTATTTTCGCAACGAAACACTGTGGTAATTTGATCGATATAAATGAATGAAAGTGATATCATATAGACTGTAGAATACGGTAGCAAATTGTTACTACACCTGACTGAGAACCAAGCTCGAACATTATGTACTTACTTACATCACTTCAAGAATACTCCTGGTAAGCGTAGATTCGTTTTGTTAATTCAACATTACACTAGCATGTGATTCATAAACCGATTGTTTCTCAAGTTGACTGGATTTCACAACGACAAATTGTTAGTATATTGATTTACTACTTATTTCTTACCTTTTAAGGCTGTCTACTTCTATAATTGGGACGGTAGAGGACCTTGTTTAGCGGTGGATGGAGAAAAAATCGCTTTAGAGACATATAAAAACTACTTGATCATACTGAAGAACACTGGGTAAGTTTTTGTCTGATATATTGGTGAATAATTTTGATTACTGTTGACAGCTGTGGATTTTGTAAGTTTTTTTTGGAAGTTGATTGATACTTCTTTCCTAGCTGCTAGCTGATATTCTATCTTTGTATTCATCTTTTGTTGAAGCAAGTGTTAGATGAATATAATTATACTGAAATCTGAAATAGGTTTATTCATTTATAGACACTGATTTTGAGAGGTGTTAACAGTTGTTTCAGTCTAGATTAGATTTCACAATACTCAAGCAGGTGGATCGTTTCAAGGAAGCAGGAGTTTGTGTAAAAGTTATCACTCGCAAAAATGCAAAAAAACGGACGTCAGTAAGAGCAGAAAGACTGTTGGTTTAAGCCATGTAGGACGATGCAGACTAGGTGGTTGGGGTCCACGGGACAAGAGGAACCAGTGGTTGGAGGCCCTAGGTGATATGGCTCAGAACCGAAGTCAGTGGTGCAGATGTATACACACATTATCCTCATCCTAACAACGCTATACCGAATCTCACCATTTTGTCACTCCTCTTTCCTTTCTCCTCGTACGTTATATTTCTTTTGACTGCATTCACTTATCTTTATCCTTCACCTCACTACCTTTTTACTTGATGTGCTGATATGAGGTGTGGCAACTCGGACCGTTACGCAGTAATGCCTGGTCCTATGTTGATAATGATGATGATGATGATGACTTACAAAAAGAAGGAAAAGTGTATGATTGAACAGAAAATTTGAGAAGGTAAAGATGTGGAAAGCTGATAATGAGCTGAATGAACTTGAGTGTTGATAGGATTGTGATGATGGTTGATAATTTTCTGCTGTTTCTTCATGAGGTATCTGAGAAATAAGGGTAGTGGGCGACCCCCTAGTTCAGGGGATGTGTGCTTGAAACCAATCACGTATGTCTGTTTTTGATGTTTGAGATTTTACTTTGTTTGTTTTGAATCCGACTGTAAACCTATATTGCCGACACTGGTATGCGACTAGGTAGAGGGGAATGTGATATTTTTAGGACTGACCTTTTCTAACCCCTTCTCATCGGCAAGGTCGCATTAGCGTAATACTGTTGGTCATCCAAGGGAAACTTCTTCCTGTTGTCACCCCCACGTCCAGCAGCAGCATACCTTCACCCTCAGTATCCTATAACAGAGTAGTAATATACTCTAAAGCGGTAACTGCTTTTCGTCTTCGCACTATCCATCTGGCCTTTCTGGCATGGTGCGTCCTCAAGAAACAAACGTTCCGTCGACATAACTCGTTTGGTCATTGTGGCATTCAAGGCCGACCACTACGTCACGTTAACAGCAATCAGTCAGGCTGAACAGAGAGCCAACAAAAAACCAGTAAGACATCTAAAGTTTAGAAAAACATTGAGTAAATGATTTTGTATCATTGTTGTAGATTCTGAGGCGTACCATCGAAGCTCTTCACCCACTGACTCCTACCATGACAGGTAGAAAGCATGTACGACTCAGACTGACTGTTGGTAAGTTTGTGGACTTGTATCAGGTATTAGGTTGGTTACTCTTGGTGTGTTCCATTCATCATCATATATTTAAGTATAAAATGTCACAATTACCTCCTTGAATGCTTCATCATATTAATTTACCTTCAGTTGTCGTTTAATCGGGCCTTAATAAGTCAGATGTCTTAACGTGGTTTTTCATTGCCACGTATGCATGAGCAGCATAGAACTTGGTAATAATGCCTAACAGTTGAAACTACTACAAGGGATTGTTCTGGAGATTAGAAAGATAGAGTAGTACCTCCTAGTATTTGGTCAGTGTTTTTTTTGGGTATCTTTCTACTGGTCAGCTACATAAGCAATAAGCTTTCGATTATCATATAATTTATCCTTTTGTCTGAGCTTCGCCATTATGTTACTCTAAGGCTTACGCTTAACATGACACAGTACTCGTAGAAGAGATATCACTGTTTGAATTAACGGGCAAAAACTAGTCATTTGGGTGAAAGCGAATATGTATACTTTTGGAAGTCATGTAGTTAGTCATTAGTGATCAACACAGTCCAATGGTTACTCACTATCTGCGTGTATCAAAATCCGTTTTCCATCCAAGTGTATCCTGATTGGTCTAAATAATAATCAATCTTTTGCCCCCTCCCCTGCTTAGTAGTTGCGATCGATTTAGATTGGGAAGGAAGAAATTATCTGCAGATGCATCACGTTGCTATTGAAATTAGTGCTGATGATATTGTCTAGAAAGACAATGAGAAAGCTTTATGATTAAGTCATCTAGCTCAGAGAACGCAACACAGCCAGGTTGATAGGACATCGATAACCTAAGTGCCACCGGTTCGAGATGTTTCACAATCTAGGTTTTATCAAACGTATTTGCCGTCTACATTATACCAACCAACGCTACCTTAGTTTAACTAATGAATGTAGTAAGATTTTCATAGGTGAGTGGTTTATTTCTCATGGAGTGCTGAGGTGTAACTTACAACTAGTTCGCCATGCATGATGTCATAGGATTAGTAAAAGCATCTGACGTCGTAAGTTTTTTTCTCAAGAAATTTGGAACCTGAGCGATTTTCTAACAATAAACCAAGGGCTCAAGTTACGTGTAAAATTCAAAACACAGGATTTGTCTGAAATACGGCACCTTATGAATAAACACTTGTGAATAGTAAATTATAAACCTCGAATCGTGAGGTATCTGTGGGTTTACCTCTATCAAAGGACCTTACAGGGAGTGCGTCATCAGTACAACAGCAAGGCTGTGTCCAAGGCTAACCAGAAGGAAATATAAAAGACGCACGTATCCCACGATAAGGTAAAAACAAGAGATAAACAGTTGTTCAAGGTGAAAAAGTATATCAGGGGACATCAGAAAGTATCCCAACACCGTCATGAACCGGGAGGGGTACTAATATCTAGGGAAGTTAAGTAATTAACGAGAAGCAACCGCACAGAATGGAGTCGTGGATGGAGTAACATTATATGAATACATAAGTTATACTACCCAATAGTACTAAGTAGTATGACGCTGAAAGTAGAAAACGTGAAACAAGGATAACACCACACGGAGTAAACCAGAACAAGTGAGGAGTTAACTTTGTTTGAAGTTCGTTGTGCTCAGCTTTTCATTAGCAAAGGCTAAGGTGCTGTATCTTTCTTAATTTAATTGAAAATAAATTCAAATATAAAGTGATTTTGATGGCAAACTGATTTCGAATCCTGTATACATATAACTTCTTGTTTCATTACTGGTTGAGGGTTCATTTTACCCTAAATTATCTCGAGCCAAAATGGTGTGTGAATTTGAAAATGATTGAAGTTCCTCTTGATACTATTTTACTTATGGGATGCAACCTGGAAATATCGCTCATTGGGTCATGTATTCTACTTTCATGTAATCAAGTCCCACTTCATTTAACTTAATCTTTGCAGCCGGCTTGTATGATAAGCGCCCATACAGTAAGCGACTCATTGCCTAGTAGACAAGTACATTTACCGAAATGAGTTGCATTACATGTTAGATCGTGAATGAAATCTAGTATTGAGTGTTTTTTACTGACTACCACTGGAAACCTTAACCTTATTGTCTCATTCAAATTATTTCCCTCATTCATATATTGTATACACTATACTGTATCCATGTATACTGTTTTCTGTTCGTAGGAAATCGTTAGTTAATTCCTATAACCCATTGCTCAATTTAACACATAATAATCAGGAGATAGGCAAATCGCCGAGTGGAACAATGGTGACAGGAACCGCACTTTCACCACCGCTTCCATCCTCCCAATCTTTCAACTATATTACATCAGGTTCCCTTGTTATACAGGATTATAACAACAAATTTGTTGCTGGTGAATTCCACTTCAATTATTTCAAAGCTCTGTTCATTGAATGGAATGGTATCTATCTATTATGTGGAAATGAATTCTTCAATCAGTCAGAGGAGGCAGCGAATATTCGTGATAATGTTGCAGTGAATTCTAAAGTTTGTAAATTTGTTTCTATTTGCATGTAGTTTTGTTAAATAAACCCCAGTCTATGTATTTTTGGTCAGTTAGTTGAAAATTAGGATTTTCAATGTACTGGTAAAAGCAGTTGTTTATTTCCACGTTTTAATTGAAGTTTTGAAAATCTTCCCACTGATCCTAATGAAAATTACACAAACCTGAGATATCCCTTTATCCTATCCTAGATATGAATAAACTTGCAATACGATTGCAAAATAACTGGTTCAATTACTTCAACTTTTGAATAATGAGTTATCGAAGTGTAGCATGGAAAACAATTTCTAGTTTGTCGACAAAATGTAGTGCGCAAATTTGTTTTTAAAAACTGAATGGGATCCTTTGATGTCACATCTTTGTTTACTTAGATCCCTCAGTTGAAACTGTGGATTACATTTATGAACAATGAGTTTTAGCTTCATCTTTCATAGTAATTTGTACAGGCAAGTTGTCGGAGTGGCAGTAGGATCTCCATCAGGCCATGTTATTCGGACACATTTCTAGCAAATTTAGAAAATGGTCGTCTAAGAGATCGAATTGACAGTATGAACTTATACTGTGGATATATGAATGATTCTTTTCTACTCTTTGATAAATCCATGTTCAGTAATTCTCTTCTGATACGCTGCAACAGCGTTCGTCCATCAGTTCATTCTGCTTATGGAGGTGAAGTCAATGATTCGATGCATTTTTTTGGTTGTTAACGGAAAGAAAAGATGGCACTATTATGAGAAGTATGTAAAGAAAACTGGGGACTAAGCCACAGTATGCCCATTTTCTCAGCTTCATGCCGATGAGGTACAAACGCAATGTAATTAGGTGCCTTGCATTTAGAGTTGGATCGATTTTTCCAAGAAAAAACGAACTAATGTATTATCCATGATATCCTAAGTGAAAATAAATATCCTAAGGAGTTCATTAAAGCAAACATCATTGAAAGTAATCCTAAATGCAAACTGAAGGTAGCAGAAAAGAAACCTTTGTGTCTGCAACTACAATTCAAGAAAGACGCTCCAAGTGACATCTTATCACAACGCCTAACTAGAGCAGTCAATAGGACCTTTTATGCAGGTCGTCTTTGCTTGCTTCTTTTAGTAGTCGGCTAAGGCTCAATTAAAGACTAAAGGATGGCCTACCTTATCTTAGTTGTTCATCTTGTATACATTAATTTAACCATCCCTGTGGTACAAGTTATATAGGGTGTGTAATTAGGCAGGTATATTTCTAGATACGAAGATATTTACTCCGTTTTTGGCCTCCAATGAAGGCTATTCTCATCTCCATTGTTTGTTGTCTCTTCCTTTTTCTTTCTTCTCATTTCTTCATACTTGTGTAAGTTATCCTCATATTGTTTAGTTGAAAAAAGTTGATCTATCATTCCGTTTTGAGAATTTATTCACTTCAAACTGGGTCTGTTTTTATGTTGGACGATTTCATTTTACATAACTGTAGTACCTGATGAGAATTTATTGACGTGAATTGTTTCTTTTCATTGTTTCCTATATCTTATCTTCAAAGTTGAACTCACATGATAAATGTTGTTTATAGCGCAGCATACGATCATGGATGCAATTATTTAATTACGTTTACTTACTTATTAGACAAATATCATTTTCTAGTTCTAGAATCGTCAGAAGAGTACTGTCTGTTCATTTTGGGATTGTGATATTGCCTTCTTGTGAGATAAAGATGCAGACAGCATATGTGTTTTGAATCCCTTTCATTAATCTCACCACTGTGTCCATCCATTAAAAAATTCTGTATTAGTGTGAGGTGTTTGAGTAGCGGTGATCAACAGTCAGACGGATCACTACCTTGTTATCGTGTCACTGGCCGAACAGTGTAGAACACTTTATCATGACTCAATCTTCATCTATTAGTGCATACATGCATGCCGAAAAACATGATACGGCCATGATTCATTGGTGTAGGTAGTTAACTTTCGACCAATGAGTCACAGGTTCGAACCCAGCTCCAACTAGGTAGTATTATTAAACCTCATACGATAGATGTGGCTCATTACCTTCTGTATGAATGTGGATTTGCTAACTGCATGGATTTTGATCTCTTTTTTTTCACGTTGAGAAAACCATCTGACGTCTTATTCTTCTACATTCCAACTTCTAATTAGTCCTAATCCTGACAAATACGAATACTATTTCACTTCTAAGTTTGGTGCTTTTACGTTGGCACCAATTTCTGTTGTATGCAAGCTGTACTCAATATTTACAAAAATGGTCAATGAAGTTAATAGGAAACATTAATTCATAAATTCTTGTATTTTTTCCCCAGCTGATTTGTTTAACTGAAAAAGATACACAAACTAAACTGGACATGTTATTTTCGAAAAAGAATTTTAATTTAGCTATTGAGTAAGTTGTGACTGCAGTAAAGTTATGTTATTATTATTATCATCATTATTATTATTACTAAGTATATTAAGTATTCACCAGTCATTTAATGTGTACATATTGCTGGGAGATGGTGAGGGTTGTTTTCAGTTTCACCATGAGGTCTAGTGTAACACAAACATGATTATTTGAGTGAAGAACTTTTAGTATGGTGACATAATTTTAGTGAGAGACACCACCATAGGACCTATCGATTGATATATATTCAAACTGTCTTTTAATTATAAAATATTGATAGTTCAGACTACCTGTACGTTTACGTCTTTGGTCGGAAAAACGCAGTTGACCTCCTTCTTAACTGTTTCATTGACTTCCCATCTTCGAACTATACACGAAAAAAATCTAGTGGTTATTTTTCTTTGTTAAATAAGTGGAAAAGAAGCACTTGATCTAACTAACCCGTGCTCATTGACCGTTTATGTTTTCCGAAAACGAAAACAGTCCCGCACCCCTATCTCTCCAACCGTAATCGATAACGATATAGCTTATGTGAGTCGTTGTTAATGGTCATCCCATCATTCTTTGTTGATCCGGATATGTAAATTTGGAGCTTCTTTACGATAATTGATATTCAGTTAGAAAGTTCTCTTTCTACTCATCATTTTAATGTTTTACTTACTTCCGCACTATTGCCAGCACTGTTTGTCGAATTGTCAAATACTTGTCGGGTAAGTTGTACCAGTCTATTTTACACTGGTTAGTCTAAGTTACTTTGAGGGCCATAGTTTGGTTCTGCATGTAATGCACTACTGACTGATATATTTAGTTCTAGACCACTCACATCAATCAACAGTGCTCGTTAGCCAGATCAAGGTGGTCTAAGCATTAAATATAGATGTGAGAAGGCTTCAAGTGTCCGACCACTTTTACATGCATAGCGTAGGCCTGTGTCATTATGTCACCACGTCACCAATACAAAAGTCTCAAGAGGAAAGTCAACTGATGAGGTTGTGAGCATTTATCGACTAAGGTGCCTGCGACATATGCTGCACATGCCTATTCACTGTCTGTCTTGTAGCACAATGTTAGCTGAAGTAGTTTCAGGTCGGAAAATATGTTAGAGTTGGCCAGACGAAAACATGTGATCATTGCATGAAGTATTTGACTGTTGATGTTAGCCGCGTAGGAAAATGTAGACTGGCTGGTTAGGGCCCATGTGACAACAAAAACGAGTGGTTGGAGATTCTGGTTGAAATGGCTGAGAATCTATGCCAGTGGTGCAAGTGTATCCACACAATAACTTCGTTTTAATTGTCAAACTGAATTTCTGTATCCTCTCATTCTTCGCTTCCGACTAGCTACTTGGTCGGATCACATTGTGTGATCCAAACATTTTGTTTTTCATAGGAAGCCATAAAGAGATTTCTCATCATGAAATGCATATTTTTGCAAACACCTAATTTGATTTTAGACATAACCAGTATGCTCAAGTAGGTACCGGAATTCGAATGGTTTGAACGATTCAGCTCCCTCAGTTAGATCAATCATCTCTCACCTGGAAACAAACGAAACGACCGTCAGGTGTTTAGATTACTCTGATCTGGCTAGTGAGTACTGCGGATCGGTGTGAGTAGTCTAGAAGCACTCATATCAGTCAGTGATATATTTCGTACAGCTTACATACACGCAACCCTGACGCCAGTTGTGATGTCAAGAAGATCATATTGTGATATGAATACTTTGGTTTTTCTAGGGAACAGTCGTGAGATTTTTCACTATGGACTGCCTATTTTTGCAAGCACTTGATTTGATATTTCAGCTATGTAGGTATGCCTCATAAATCCAGTATATATCCATGACCTAGCTTGATTTTTTGGCAGGTGAAACCTGTTTTCTCTTTCAAAATAAGGCATAGGCGTAGATTGCTCAAATATATAGTGCTTAGCACAATTTCTGAAGAAAATGTATCCCATTTCATGGACGTTGGTCGTTAGCATCAATTTCATAGGAGGAAAGAATTCGAAAATGTTGTCAAATCAATATCAGGTGATGATAATGAAAATTTGTGAAGCAATAAAGAAAGAAAACTCAAACACTGGTTAAGGTGTATGCGTGATCGATAGTTCTAAAGCGTATGTACAGCAAAAGACTACTTTTTCGTTGACACTATAGGAATAGATCGCATTGATATTAATAACTTTATCCTTTCGTGGGAAGCCAGTCACAAGTTTCGTTCTTTGAGGTGTTTGTACTTTGAAAATTTTTATCGTCATCGTCCGTAATTCCTGAGGCAAGAGGTTGTACTGTATTTAGTTTTTTTAGTAACAGGGTATGATCGCTTTTACAACATGGGACATGGCATTCTTGAGTAACTGTCCATGTTACCAGACCTTGCGTAGACGTATCAGAGCTGGAGGTATCAAGATGAAAGATCGAAAATATAGAAGGTAGTAAGCAAAAGTAGGAGAAAGTTGAACAGTGAGAGCTAAAAGGCATAAACCAATTGTGGAATTCTGCAAGATGATTAAGGTTAAGATATCATATGAACGTATCGGCAGCACTGAAATCGATTCTCAACCGAGTCGCCTAGAGTCTCCAAACATCGGTTCCAACTGTCACAATGACCCCAACAGTGAAGTCTACTTTCCCATATATGGCCGAGACTAACAGTTAGATATTTCATGCAATGATACTATGTTTTTGTTTGGCTACCTTTTACACCTCAAACCCTTTTCGATTCTAGACATGCTTCAGATAATACTAAGCAACAGACCAGTGGGTAACTAGGCATGCGTAACGCATTTCCCAGCTATGCGATGAGGACTTGAAACCTCACTGACTGACCTTCCTCTTCCATTCAAAATGCTACACCTGATGTCTTCTTTACTGACATGGCATGACTGCACATGATCTCTACTACGAAAGCACCGGTGCTTGAACACCTGATACCTTCTCATTTCCATTATTAATGTGTATGTTTCACAGTTATATAGTAGAACTCTTATGCAGCATATAGCTCTTAACAGGCGATCGGATATGATAACGACGCCATAAACGACATGAGCTAACGGAAGCGTAACAAGCCTTCTGTTTCCGTTCAGAGATATTCATCGATCACTGATCCACCAGAGCTGATGCAGTTTGGCAAGTAAGTGAAGTTGTGAGAGCGCTCAACCACTCCACTTCGTACTGATAGATGGCCTACCAATGCATTTCAGTTCTTAAGCAGTAATTTGTTTTGGATGGTGATACACGCATCTCCAACATCCTTAAGTCGCCACTGAATGCTTTTCACAAGATTGCATCTCGTCAGCATCTTAACTGAATAAAACTATGTTATCTGTATACTATACGTCTAACAAAACATCTGTTATATGGTCGATTCCTTTAGTTTGTCAAAAATACGTCTGTGACAGTATTAAGTAAGAATAGAGATTCTGGTTATCCTCAATAAAGACTATCAACGTTTCATCTAGGCTCAGGTAGCAGTACAACTTCACCACTCTGCAGCTAACCACGGCATGTAAGGACCCCTCTCAAAATAGCTGATAAATCATTTACACTAGGCAAGTTAGACTACCATGACAAGATAGCAGCTGTATTTGAGTCTATGGTTGCTCATCTGTCTGTTATGACAATAGTGACTGGTGCCCAGAGGTCACCTGAATTAGTTATCAGTTGAAGAGAATCAGAAGATTGAAGGATTTTTAAAATTTCTCGCCAGCTGACTAACTTGACGAACACCGCTGGTTTTCATTCGCTTTTCTGTTTCCTACTTAACTTTGGGAGTTGGATGAAAGTTGTAACTGTAACTGTTTAATCCACCTGTTCAATTCCACCCTGGGATGAGAAATGCATTTAATATCTCATAATGGGTACTAGGTTCGAATCTTTTGGGGAACAACACCACTCACTGGGGTGCAGGTACATCCAGCTGGCGATATCCTAATAGGGCGAAACATGCGTCTTGGATTCCACAGATAACCACCAAATAGAACCCCATAATTCTTGTTTTTGTTGTTTAACCCATATATAAACACTGACCGTTCTTTCCTCTATAGGATAGCTAAATCTCAACATTTTGATGACAGTGAACTAGCTCACATATTTTGGCGTTATGCTGATTATTTGTATCAGTAAGTTTTATTATTTCTTTTGTAGTTAACGTTGTCTCATGAGATATTAATTTTCAGATGTTCTTGTTTCTTAGTATTTTTCATTGTAAAACGCTGATTCCACACATGTTGGCCGTTCTAAGTTAGATATTTGAGTTCAAGTGGTGACATACTGATATCAGTATGTTTTGGTATGTAGAATAGAATCGTGCACAGTTTTCCGATGTCCTGCCGATCCACTGCAATACTCTTTCTGAAGATAACTTATTACAACAATAAGTAAGCTGGTGTGATGACAATGAGTTACTTTAAAGTCTATCGTAACAACTGCTGGAATAACCAGTCAAGGGTCCCTTATTTCACCTTTCTAGCTGAAATAGAGTAACCTAACTGCTTCATTCTGTTGTTGCTGCGATGGCATTTTGAGTCGCTAGTATTCATGACATCGAAGTCACATATACATCTGGATTTCATGTCCCTAACGTATCACAATCCATTTTTTCCAATAAAGTAACTTATTTCACACAGAAATCGAAATGACGGGCATTAATCAGTTTCACTTAAAATTATATTATTCATATTGAGTGATGATTTAAGGTGAATTGAAAACTTGGGCTGCGGTTGGATTCGAACCAGCGACTACTAGACCGGAAACCCGGTAGTCGCTCACTCGTATACCTCCACAGGCCAGATTTTCATTTCCTCTTCAATCACCACTTAGTATCAATACTAGTCTACCAAACTACTGCTATCTCACTCAGATAATCAAGATGATAATTAAATTATTTCGCAACCATGATTCTTGCGGAATGGAGTGAAAAGTCAATAAAAAGTTTTTGATTTCAAGGTAGCATTCATTACTAACTGACATCAGTTGGAGAACCATTGGAAACCTGGGGGAGCTGGATAACCAGTGGTACAATGTTAACGTTCTTACCTCAAAACCTGAAGATCTTGAGTTTGACCCCTGGCGGTTGTCATGGTTGCATACAACCGAGGAGTCCCATACTAGGGAGAAACAGCTGTCCAGTACTCCCAGATTTTCAGTGGTTCTTCAACTGGTGACAGTACTCATCAAATATTAGCATGAAATCAATAAACCCTCACAAACCTTAGATTGAAAACATTCTTCGGTTGAGCTGCACAATTATGATTTAAATCTTAATTAAAATATCTTTTAAAATAAGTAAAACAACATAACCGGTAACAGTTGTGTGTTACTTCTATTTTTATTTCTCCAGTCTGTTATTACTACTTAGATAAAGTATCTTTTAACCTTTCAAGATTTCAGTTATTTCAACCGAACGCTACTTAGAACTACATTGCCCTAGTTTAGCTCAACCTTCGATTGTATTCGTCACTTCAGAATACTGTGGTACAGAACTTCTAATGATAGAATTCATGGTCCGGAATAGTAATCCTGCCTGCTTTCATTAACATCAAATAGCGTTGACATTTGAATACTAAGAAGACTATACTACTAAACAACCTCAGATATATATTAGGCTTTCTAAAACACTTGGTGTATATGTATATTCAGCGTCGGGTAATTGAAATTGAACTCTACTACAAATTAAATGTTGATTGTTTAAAGTCAATAAACTTATTTTTATTATTTGTCCCTTGGGTCCCTAGTGAAACATAGGGCTTCAAAGACACATCGCCATTTCACTCTGTTCTCTGCAGTCTTTTGAATCTGGCTCCACAACTACCCAGAAGCTTTCATCTATTCCTCACATGATCTCCTCCATATTACCCTCGAACGTTCAACTCGTCCTTTTTCCTTTGGGTTCGACTCGAGTGCCTGGCCTTGCGTGTGATGTCCCCGAATGGTCTTCTCAGTGTATACCCAATCCAGTTCATCTCCACCTCATTATGCATATTTGTTGGGCGATAGGTTGTTGATTGGTTCGTTGCCAGCCAGAGTTCCTTTTTCCTTGTTGCTTATTTTTATTATTCTGGCAATCCATGTGATCTTTGGTGTCAGTATCGAGTGAGTGGAGGTGGCAGCTGTTGATGTATTTGTGTAGTTTGTTGGAAATGCTTTTTGTGAGGCACCGCCAAGTCTGTGAACCATCACATGGAAGCACTGACTGACTTAGTGTTGAGAATCAGGATATTGTTCAGGCCTTATGCTGAGTGTAGTAGATCTCCACACTGATTTCAGATTAATGCAGTAAGGTCTGTGTTGGTGTCTTTCCGATCCTGGCCGCTTCGATATGCTCATCTGTGCCACCGCCACTGCTACCAGTAATTGAAAGGATACTGCCGAGGTGTGTAGGTGAAAGAGACAACTTGCTTCAGATTTCTCCCGTTGATGGTGATTGGTGCTTGTTGTTGTTGTTGGTCGAGTATCTTGATGACCTCTGTCTTCTCTACATTGGCTTGAAGTGCCGTCTTCCTTCTCTGCCTCTCCTCACCTCTTCTGCCAACTTGTTAGTTTGTTGGGTTTCGCCTGTAGAATTTTGAGTTTGTGCGATATGACACTAGACATAAATCATCATCATCATCGGTGGCGGCGAAATCGAAATCTTTTTCTGGTGTGTTTTGATCGATCCAGTCAGGTTATGGCCACCTTCTCGCTCCTCACAGTTGTGTGTTGCATGATGCAGTCCAGTCCAGTCTAGACGAGTCCATTTGAGTCGACGGCAATCAGGAATATGATCGGTAATCGTAGGTGGCTAGCTTGTCTTACTCCTGTCTTCACTTCCACTCGAAAGGGATTACTGAGCTTTCCATTGTGTTGTGGATCAGTTGGCATGTGGCATCCTGATATAGGTGTTGAATGAGGTTGATAGTGGATTGTGGCACTGAGACCGTAGTGTTGGAGTAGCTGTTTGTTAAATTACTTGTCGTTGGAAGCTGTCGTATGCCTTTTCAAAGTGGATGAAGTTGAGGTGAGGTATAGAGTTGATTGGTATTCTATTCTGTGTTCTATGACGATGATGATGATGAGTAGCGTAGCGTAGCGTGTCGTGGCGTGGCGTGGCGTAGCGTAGCATTTGAATTTGTTCAGTACATGATTTGTTTTTCGTGAAACCAGCCAGCCAGTCGGCCAGCCAGGGAGTTTTTGTTGTCGTTTTGAATCGAGAGTATATTTTCGTCTCTCCAGGATGATGTGGCTTAATATTTAGCTTTGGGTGGACGGTGACAAGAGGATGACTCCTTACCAGTTCTTTGCAAAGAACTTCAAAGGACAGACGAAATATAAAAAAAAGTAAACTACATCTCCAAATCAGATAGCTTTTCCACAATTTAATCAATGTTTATGTGAAGTGTTCAGACTAGCTGTGTGTGTGTGTATGCGCAAACAGTTCTCACTGCTTCTAGGGTTTTTGTTTGTTTTAACATATATAGACAAAAAGATTACGATGCTGCTATTCGTGAATACATAAAAACTATTGGCCAACTTGAAGCATCATTTGTCATACAAAGAGTGAGTTTACTTTTCATTTTTTATGCTTGAAATGCATACACTTGTTTATGGATCATTCAATTGAATAATACAATGCAAATCAATTTATAAGGACTGAACAAATAAAAGGACAGAGGACGAAACAGGTTGTATACGGCTTATCGTTTGTTTGTTACCACAAATCAAGACTTTGTCTTTCAGAGGTATCGTAATTAAAGGTTAGGAAAACTATTGGATTAATATTGTTAGTAAGTCGTTAAATTGAAGAAAACAATGGATGATTGACTGGTTACTGGAGGAGGGTAACCAACTTCATGTTGTCCTAGTCCTAAGGACTGATCGAGTTCTATCAATTATTTTGCAATATTGTCTGCAAGCTAGAAGACTCACCGTCACGATGCACTGGGGTAGTTATTAATTGGTTAAAGCAGTCGGCTGCAAACCCTAAACCTAGGTTTCGTACTTGTTGGGACTTATCAGCAAAGCCTATGTGCAACCATCTGAAATCCGAACCCATATGCCAAAGAGACTTTGACAACAAGTGCTGAACGAATTCCACAATGACCATCCGGTTTTAACTAGAATGAAATCTGACACGTAGCTACATAAATCGGCACAAAATAGACCAAGAAATCGAAAATATGTGTCAAAATTGTTTTAACTACCTCCCTCTTGACCATGGTCGATGACCCTGAACACCATGCCAGAGGATTCGTGTTGACTTTACAGACCCAAGGAAAAATGTATCTTGTTATTGTTGACGCACATAGCAAATTAGCTAGTTTGTTTAACTGCTTCGGCCTTCCCGAAACTATGGTAACTGATAATGGCAGGGAATTTACTTCGGCGGCATTTTCAGCTTTTTGCAGACAAATTGCGATTTAGCACTTACGATCCCCATCGTTATCACCTGCAATCAAATGGCCAGGTAGGACAGTTTGTGGATACTTTCGAACGTGCTTGATTGAAATAGTAATGAAGAGGGTCGGTAAACACCGTCATTGGCAGATTCCTTGTAATCTACCGAAGCACTCCAAATCCCAACACACCAAATGGCGAATCTCCTGTAGAGGGTATGTTTGGTCGCCGAATAAGAACTGTTTTTACGTCTATGCTGCTGCCTACAACTAAGTCAGCCAGAAAGGAGCAAGCGGCCAAAACAATGCAGAAAATTCCAACCTGGTGGCATGGTTATGGCCAAAAACCACCCGCGTAAAAATTTTATAGGAAATGGTTGTAGTAAGAAAAAAATTGAAAGAGTAACTAACTAAGTGCAGATTGGTCTAGAAATCTGGAGAGGATATATAAATCAACTGAGACTAAGATGTCATAACTACAGTAGAAATTATAATTATCTCAACTTACCACTCCATATGTTACTGGACAACCCACAGTAATTAGAAAACGATTCATGATTTCCAAACAGCTAGATGAATTGCCGGAATTCTGCTTGTCCACTACGGCGTTGAACTACTGCGTTCAGGAAGCCCATAAAAGCACTCGAATTGAATTCAAAGCAACGCTTCTACACAGTTTTTTTTAAAAAGGGGTAGATATTATGGAGTGCGACAGTACCATCAAAGAAGCCTGGATATACTTGAAAACCCTTCACAACCAATCATGTCGAACGTTCGGGAAATACTACGTGATCATACGTATGAAACTCGGATTAGTTAAAGGGCTCTCTAGAAAAGTTTAAAAATTTTAAAGTCCATCAACAAATGCATACAAACCGTTATCATTTTGTCTATCCTTTTTTGTTTTCGAGGAACCAAGTGATCATTATGGCTGAAATCTAAGGTTATTGTTCAGGAGTCCACTCCTATATATATATATATATATATATATATATATATATATATATATATATATATATATATATATATTTTATATTATATATATATATATATATATAATATATATAAACAAGAAATATCACTGTAAAGGTCCTACAGTAGGTCAATCGCAACCCGAATAGCTTAACGATAACATCTCTAACTGCAGATATGGGTGACAAGAGTTCAAATCTCAGGCAGGACATCAGTTCCATCGAGGTTGCAGATGTGCCTTGCTGAGTAGTGCCAACAAGTATGAAACCCAGGACGAACAGACCTTCCTGGCGATTGCCTGGATTCAACTAACAGGATAATGAAGGCACAATGATGCATGGGGTTACTGAAGAACAGGTTACAGTTTCATGCTTTTTTGAAGTGTATTGATTTCTTTTACCAAGAAATTGATTATCTTCTGCAGAAGAATGTGGGCTAGTATTGTTTAATTAGGTGGATCCTAGTAGAAATCTGTGTAGTAGTTCAACTTCGATCTTGATTTTCCATCGTGTCACAAGTGGTTCAGACTGTAACTGTAGCCGTTTTTTATCGTTCATACCAACACTTCGGCATGGTGGAGCCTTATATAATAAATGTATGAATACTGTTCCTTTACAATTTTTTTGTCATACTGATGATATCTACAATATTTAACAGTAAGTCCCATACTATACTGGAAGAAACAATTGTATGTCGAGGTCCTACTACTCCAGGAGAATATCTCAGTTACGCCATTTTGATTTCATGTCATGCAGCTATATTTCAGTGGTATTTCTACATCAAAGTTTCAGCTGTTTAACCACATTCTCACACTTCATTCTATCTCTTTTGACTTTCATTAGTCGGTCATATTGAAGAGAGGAGTCGAGTGAAGCAGCAGACATTGTCCATGAGATAGTCAGAATCCTTTTCGCTTAATACGTCTAGATATAATAAATTTTTTCATTCACCAATCATTATCTATGTTTGTGTTTGACGAGATGTTATGATAAGAAGTTGTATTCAAGTACTCCATACACTTTTTAGTGAATATGGTGAAAATTTTGCAGAATAAATATACAGAGAGAGAGGCAGTAATGGAGCCTGTTATTTATTACTTTATGGAAACATGTTGGCCACTAAGTAACATAGATGATAGTTTGCTATAAAATTAATGAAAGACAATTCAGCGAAAACAATTTTCTTTTCGAAGAATCTTAATCATAGCTATATATATATATATATATATATATATATATATATATATATATATATATATATATATATATATATATATATATATCAATAATACATGAGTCAATTCAAGGTCATCAAAGAGTGATCTGTCTTCCCCCGCTATGTTTCTATTCAATACTATGTCTTCTTACCTTCTGATTCTTCACCATTTTGGTCGTTATCCCACCTCGTGTTTTCTGGTGTTGCACTATATACTACTCTTGATATGCTTAGCTACAAGTAGTATTCCACCATAATATTAATAGCATTTACACGAAGTGTAACTCATACCCAAGCGCGTAAATTTGCTTGCATGGATTAGGTTACTTTGGATGATTTTATTTTATTTTGTGTTTCACTGAGTAATAATAATAATAGTTGTAAAATTTTGTCAATATTACTTAAGGTAGTTGAACTGATATTCAACCAAATTTTCATTGAATTATGAACACCGTTTTATCAGTTTCTTGAAGGTAGTCATATTATTCAACTGACCAGCTATTTGGAGGCTTTAAGCGATCAAAATCTGGCCACAAGTGATCATTTACTCCTTCTACTTAATTGTTATTGTCGTCTACAAGATGAAGATAAAATAGATCAGTTTGTTAGCGTAAGTTATGTTTTCTTCGAAGTGACTCTAATGACCACTCTTCCTATATTATCTTAACGATAAGTTATCACGTTTTAAGACAACTAATATTTTGATTATTAGTTTAATTATTTGAGATGACCGTGGTTTGGTAGACTAGTCTTGATACTGCCGAGATGATTGGAGGTGAAATGAAAATTTGGACCGTTTCGGGATTCAAACCAGCGGTCACCAGGTTTCCGGCTCTGTGTTCTACCAACTGAACTATGAGGCCCAACTGCTGACCAGATTTTTATTTCACTTCAGTTATCAAGGGTTAGCAGTCAAGGATCGAAGCTCAGTTGGTAGAGCATGGGGCTGAAAACCTGGTGGTCACTGGTTTGAATCCGACCGCGGTCCGAATTTTCATTTCATCTTCAGTCATCGCCTGGTATCAATTAATATTTTAACAATACTTAATATTGGCTTGGATGGTCATAATTGACTGCTAAGATTTAATTTACCTGTAAATTTGTAATCCTAACGACGAGTATTGACGACACCGTGTCTAAACTTAGCTTTAGTTAAAACGAGGAGAACTTTATATGTTTTCAAATACAAAAACAATGGTTTAATACTACTAAAAATGGATAAATTGAAGGTTACTTGAGGAAAGCGTTTTAGTTATCACTATGCTTACTCTCAGAAAATATTTCAGCTTCGAGATAGGCTCAGATGGGAGAGTTACGAAGAAAAGATTCCAAATAAGAAACTGAATTCGTTGGTAGATCTTCACCAAGAGTTCTCACTGTTGACTGTAGTCTTTAAGTCCCTAACAGCGTTTAGGTTTAAGTTACACATATCAAGACGAGTGACAGTTTAGAACATATGAATATCTTTCGGATTTCAAAGGATGAATTTCCTGTTTCCAGCTCAATTGGTAGACCTAAGTGATAATCAGGTTTGAACATCACTTCAACTACCAGTTAGTGTACTAATGGAAGAAAACTGTCTATTTGCATTTCGCTACTTTAGGCGCTTTGGCAGGTATTGTCAAGTAAATTGGTATCGAGCCAAATTAGATGATAATAACAGGCAACTGATTTTGAATTAAATTGTCATGCAAAGCAGTTTTTGAGAAACTTAAACTGTATCATAGATCGATTCGACTCCTGAGTTTAGCAGTAAAGGATATTCCTAATGTTAGTTTACAATGTATCAATTCACGCCTCTATATGTGTTTCTTACATACATAATTTTCGTCTATGATATCATCCTTTTTTCAGACTCCGAATAATTCACAATTGGACGTCACATCAGCGCTACATGTCTTAAAACAATCGAAATATATTAGTGCTGCTGTCAAGTTAGCTAAAAATACTGGACGTCATATAGACTGTATTGGTCTTTTGATTGAAAATTTATGCGATGGAAAGTCAGCACTTGAAATGATTGATAAACTGGATTTTGATGAGGTAACTGGAGTTTTATAGTATTGGTTTTCTAAAAGTCTCAATATTTCAGTAACTTATCGGTTATTCAGATTGAAAGATATGTTCTAATTCTTTTCACTGATCACTGAATAGTCACTTACAGTAACCGATGGTCTACTAGGGGATTGTCACGGTACACGGAGAGTTTAGTTAATGTTCAATCCTATACTCTGGCACTACTAACAGACCATTAGCTTTTCCACTGACACATCAGACAAAATTTAAATGTGTGTGCACTGCGATGCTGAGCCTCCTAGCTTGTGGCCACATTGCATATATTGTCGCTATGATTCGGTCTGCACTCAGGACTAGACAACATAAGATTGATCGCACTCCTGTGACAAAGCAATACATGTAATCCAGTCCTACAGGAGGTGAATCGCGTCCCGAATAGCTCAGTAGTAAAGTCACTAACTACAACACTGGGTGACGTAGATTCGAACCTCAGGCGGGACATAAGTTCCGTCTAGGTTGCAGACATGCGTTGCTGACGAGTGCCAACAAGTACGAAACCTAGGTCCAAGGCTTCCTGCAGATGGCCTCCAACCAACTGATATTGTCTTACGTTATTTTGACACTACTAATAATAAAGGCAAACATCCTTATGAAGTTAGCACTGAAGATGTCACCAAGCCTGGTGACGGAACGTCTACGACAGAATATCAAAGTTCAGAGAACATCAAATCCACTATCATCTTCATCATGAGCTAGGAATCTTTTCCAACATTTCAAAGGCAAATAGTATGGTAACATCACGAGTATGAGATCATGTATTCCTTTAAAAGTGTCCTTGTGTACTAGTAGTAACAAGTAAGCAATGTCAAGGTTAAAGGTAGTATCGTGTAGGTATGAGATACTACGCGAGCACATTCACTAATTACTTCGAAATGTAGTTTTACCTGGAATAAGAGTGTGAAGTACTACAAAATTCCGAATGGTCTAGCTGAAATACTACACTCAACCTGAACTTTATTCACTGTCACGTTGGACCTTTTAAGAAAGTTCAAACCTGTGGTGTCTAATCCGTTATATAGTAAACATCGTAGGTAGTATATTTTGGATAGCCTTCAGAATGGTACAGGTGTACACGTCTTAGGTTTTGAATATTTAGTTATTTTATGCATATCTATTCTTTTGTTGTTCATTAGCTATATTCCAAACCGTAGTCGTTTATTTCAGTTGATTTTCTCGGTATTTAAATTGGCCGGGAACTGAAATCGATACCGTATTCTGTCAGTACTTGTTCTACTAGTCATTTATCACAAACCTATTACTTCATCAGTTTAATTAGCTACACTCAATCGTAGCGGTCTGATTGAAATCTAAGCTACTTTATTTTATCATAGAATATACTGCATCAAATTTCTCCTTTGTTTTAATCGTTCAATTATTTCAACCAATCGTACTGTATACTCTCGCGCGTTTATGAAATCATTACAACCTATAGCTTTACAAATTGATAGGCAAATTAAAAAGAAGCACCACGGTGGATGACAACGGCTCTCAGGCTTATGACCATAGACTATTCTACAAATACTTAGCACAAACTGCAGATCGTTACCGAATAAAGTTGATCGCCTTCGGTCACTCTTGTCCACAAATGTTTATCGAAACATGAGTGTAATCATGCTACAGGAAACATGGTTTTATAACCTGTATGATAATTATTTAGTCTGTTTAAATGGTTTCAAATTATTTCGGCAAGATCGAAGCTTTTCGAAGAAATGTGGCGGTGATGTAGCAACATTTATTAGCGCAAACTGGTTCCCCTCCAGCTATGTATACTTCTGCTTCTCTAGAGAAAAAATTGAGTGCAGTACCATTAAATGTCGTCCCAAACATTTGAGCAAATACAAACACATATACATAAAAATATATGTCCCACCTGATTGCAGTTTCTCAGATTTGTCCACTTTTGATGATGAATTCACTGAATTAGCTGCTGCGATTCTGGGTAACTCCTTGTCTATAGCCTGTGGAGATTTTAATTCATGTGGCTGCAGTTTCCTTGTATTATTGCATCATAAAAATGTGGTTTACTTTTCCACTCGTCTTGACAACACCCTAAACTCAGTATTTACGAAGGAACCTGGCGTATATGAAGCCCGTAAATGGGCTCCGCTACTCAATTCTAACCACTGTATTGTACGTGTTTTGCCTAAAGTATACGGCGAATTACACAAGAAAGCTTTCGGATACCAAGAAAGTCCAGTACAGATGCTATTCACAGGAGAATGTATTTCGTTTGAGGAACATGCTTACAGAAAAAGACTGAGATATATTTGCTGATGAGGTTTTGGACGACACTATCACCGATATCACAAGCTATCTCAGGTTCTATCTAGATCTTCGCTGCTCTGTTGAAACAATCTACATGAGATTCGACAGCCTTTCCCCTCCTCATCTCAAGAGGCTCTGAAGAGAAAAAGAAAGGTTGTATGAGGCGAGAGACCAAAATTGTACTTGTGCCTAAGTCATCTTCTGGATGGGATGTTACGTTCCGACTCATCGCTATAACTTCCCCTTCTCTAAAAATAATGGAGAAATTACTTCTTGTAATTGAGCCTTCATTGATAGTTTTCAGAGATCCAAAACAGGTTTGCTTACAAACACAGGAGAAGTACCCTAGATGCTGCCACTGTCTTGCATCATAATATTGTTTCTAGTCTAGACAAAGGTGTTAAGTATGTTCGTTGTGCCTTTTTGGATTACTCGTCAGCCTTTGACTCTGTTCCGAGACCACTCTTGTTAAATAAGCTTCCCATAGCACATACTGACCCATGGGTTACAAAGTCACTGTATTCTTATTTTTCTGGAGGGAAACAGTACACTGTCTTTTAAGGGAAGCTTTCGACTTCATTACTTACGGGAGCTAGTGTGCCCCAAGGTGCTGTACTTCCTCCTTTTCTGTTTTCGTTCTTTTTGCATGATTTTCCTTATTCTGTTGAAACAAATTTTATTAAGCATGCTGATGACTTGATGGTGTCTAATCCAGTTAACTCTCACATAGATTGCTCTAAATTAAATAGATTCTTGTCTGAAATTGGCAAATGGTCTCTCTCAAACGGTCTTAAGTTAAACCCTTTTAAGTGTCAGACTGTTAATCTTAGCCTCAGGCGTAGAGAAGACTTGTGTGAGCTGCTTAAATCTCATGACGCCTGTTGCAGTGATGGTATTTTTGCAGAAAGTAAATCGAATGTTAATTATCTTGGATTGAGGTTTACTTCTGATCTTTGTTGGTCGTCTCATATCTTGTTGACATGTAAAAAATCTTTCTTTTAACTTATTATATAAAGAAAACTAGGGCTCTTTGGTATAACTCAACCTCTTCTTTTACAATTTATTAATTCCTGCATTTTACCTGTTCTTCTATATTGTTCCCCATCGATCTTTCCCGGTCTTCTAAGAAAGGACTATGTTATATTGCATAGGACTTTAAAAGTCGTCAGGTGGGTGAGTGATATGCCTCTGGCTTAACTGACTGACTGACATTCACAACTCTCTTCACGTATCTCCTCAGGGAGGACAGGAGGAAACTACATAAGACTGTACACTCGTACAGCTAGGTATAAGAATTCTACTGTACGTTATCTAGTGCGCATATTTTGTGTGAAAAAAGTTTTAGAACAGAAATCACACATCAACTTTGTAACAGTTAAGAATTTCATTTCAGTAATTTCCCTACTAATGTAAAATTCTCTCGTTTTCAATATTCTTTGCATTACTTAAATCTTTATAATAACACAATTCGAAATGTAAAAGAGTATATATATACATATATTTTGTTGTGGTTGCAATATACCAGTCTGAGATTTCCCAGTTGTACCACAAATTATTTGAAATAAAGTGAATTACCATTCTTATTATTGCTAACGGACTGGTGATTCGAGTAATAAGTGTAATAAAATGTAATTATAAAGTAAAGATTTAAATAAGGTTGAAGATAATTAACTGTTTAAACAGGTAGGCTTGGTAATAACTATCTTTTCATAACTGATTTTGGAGTTCATCAGCGTCACATAACTTTTTCGCTTGTCTGAATCATTTTTGTACATGCATTGGTTATGTAATCGTACTAGCCTTCTTACACTATCCACTATTATCCAACCATTTCCCTAGTTATGTAATGAAAAGGAACGCTGTAGGCGTTGTTGAATTCACATTGAAAGTGAATATGATCTTATGATATATACGTTTAGTCTTGTTGATGACTGGTAATAATTTGTCAAAATGTCGCTTCTGATAAAAAAAAGTGGTAATGTTTTACTGAGCAACACTTCTTCAATATTCTTTCAATAAACGTGCTGATGAGTCCCATATAGGACGAAACGCGCTTAGTAAATTCCTCTACTAGCAATAACCAAGTAAATTATCATTGTAAGTATTCAGATAATATTGAGGTATCTTCATAGGAGTATACATGCCAACAGAGGTCGAGCAATTCTATCCAGTATAATAAGGGAGAATTACAAGTATATCAAGGAATAGTAATAACGTTATATTGTTATAAAGATGTACACTCTTGACATTCTGACTTCTGTGTAACTCTTCAAGAATCAGTTTTTACTTACATTCTATGTCTCTAATATCACTTTTCCTAATTATAGGCCTTGAAATCTGTGAGTGAATATGGACATCAGTTAATAACTCATTGCCCTTCAGAAACGATCAAACTTTTGGATAAACTATGTGCTCATCCAGGTATAACTGTTTCTGATGTTTGCTGCTTTCTATTTTTATGTCTTTCATATTTTACCACTTAACGACAAACACGGTGACCTGAACTAAACTTCCAGTTGTGAGGTATCTTAATGTTTTCATATTTATATATCGTTAACGATATGGCCCTAGATTGAAGTATATATGAACATTTTATTGATATATTGATAAGAATATGTAGTGAAGTATTTATTGTGTGAGATTTCTATAGTGTGATACTTGCCTGCTCTGTTACAGATGTTTGTAAGGGAAAGAAAAGTAAGTTGATTTTTCTCTAATCCTGCTTATTTTCAGCTCCTATTTCTTTGTGGATGTTCATAAGTTTTATATTTTCCCAACAAGATTCCCCTCTTTTGACAAGCTTTTGTAGGATTTCTCAAAGTTATGTGAGTGATTTTGAAAACCTTCGTTGTTACTACTAAATTTACCAATTATAGTTTCAAAATTTACAATGAAGTTGCCTTTTCAGTCGAATTAAAGAAATTTAACTGGTTATTTCAATGTTTGCTAGCGTGATCTTAAATATCGCCCATGTAACGTATTGTTAATACTTCATATTATAGAAAGCAGTTTTGCTTTCAGATGATGTTTAGTTTTATTTTGTTTCATGATATTTATCGCCTTTAGTAACAAGGCATACTGGTTACCTTTGAGATTGTTTTGTAAGCACTTTACACTACTAAATAGTAGTGTGATAACACTTCTCTACGCGTTGAACAGAAATCTGTGTGTGTTTGGCATGGGTTTCACTGGCACCTGTCAAGGGTAAGATGATGCGCCAGGAGTGGTCTAGTGCAAGTACTCACAGCCTAATGATAAGTGATAAGTGATGGAATGTGTCGACCACTTCACTTCCTTGGGGAGTTGCATCACCTTGAAGAGGCTGGTTACTGACGAAATCTCAGCTAGCATACAGAAAACTTGTTTAGGATTTGCTAACTTGCGTCATCTCCGGCGCCTACTGTTAAGATATACGACGGGCTATCACAGGATGAGTAAACTGCACTTCAGTCTGTTCTGTCGTGTTATACGGCTATGAGACAGCCGTTGGAAGTAGAAAACATGGGGTGGGTAGACGTGTTTGTTCACAGGTATTTTCGTAGCATTGCTGGCGTGCGTGTGGTGGAATCACCGTGTGGGTAATGTTGATGTCACATGATGTGTACTAGGCAAGAAGGCAGGTCGATTGATAAAGTTTTGAACCTTAGTCCAAGTAGATAGTTTGGACATGTACGGCATTTACCGCACCACTACCTACCTTGACGTGCCATACTAGTAAAGATTGGATTAGGTTGAAAGAGGGTTGATGTTATTGGGACGAAGACGTGGTACCAGTCGATGAAGTATCTTCCTGTTGGTCTTAGTCGTGTGGGGAGATGTAGATCGCCAAGTTGGGGTCTGCGATATGAATGGAATTGGTGGTTGGTAACTCTTGATGACATGCCTGAAAATTGGTCAAAATTTCTCATATGTATTCACTCCTTGACATCTTCGACTGCTTGAATATTTGCACTAACCGTTATCTTCAGATTATTTGTTCTCTTATACTACTTTTTCCGCTTTGATATCACTTTTCATATTCACCTGTTCTTTGTGTACTTCTGTGAAGTGTGGCAATTTGAGCCGATATGTGACAGTTTCTATGTTGATTTTATTAGTCAATCAATCAGTATGATTACGAATCAGGTATTTGAAATACAGAAAGAAGTTACAGTTACGACGCATTTTCACAGCTGTATATTCGTAAATTTATAAGTAAAGCGACAGAGTGTTCCAGATAAGTTTCGTTTAAAGGTCAAGCTTAATCGTCAGGTTTATGTAAGAAATGAGACAACGTTACGCAACACAAGACATGATCTCATTAGTTTCTATAAAAAGCAGGGAACAGCAAGATAATAAAAATTAATAGATAAACGTAATAAAATATGAATAATTATATAAATAAATTACAAACTAGAATATAAACAGAAGTGGAGAGAATACCTGATAAAGACCATGGTATGGAGAGTGTTTGTACATATTTCTTTTAAATACACAATTGACGTCTGAAGCTATGAACTACCAAAGCTTTGGCTGCACATAGATATGTAATTTTCACCCCCTTTTAAACGGTTCAGTTGAACTTTGTGGAGAACTTCGAATGAGGTTTCTAGAGTAAGTCAGATGTCTAGAGTCTGCGAGATAGAATAGTCGCTTAGATAGTAGTCTTAATTTCTTATGAACCATCAAAAATATTTTTCTGCTGACAAAATCACTAATTTAGATTTCTATTCATGTTTACCGACGGTCTGTAAGCGTTGAAGGCAACTGGTAACCTTCTTTGTACTATTGTATAACCATCTTTAAAGTTTTTAAATCTTTATTTTAGCTGTATTTATTCTACTAATGCACCTTTAAAATCCTGCATAAGTAGCTAACTTTATAGATTAATTTCTTCCCACTAAGGTTTCATTTTTATTTATGTCAAGAAGCAGAACTCAGACTAAGTTTACCGTAGTTTATGAAGTCTCTGAGTGTTAGTCTGGGCTGAAAGAGGTGGCGTAGACTATCCGTTTGGGAGTCCTCGACTCTATGGAAACCAATAGTTAAGGACTCCTGGTGATATGGCTGAAAATCGGTCACAGTCGAGCAGATGTACTCACTGTCCTGACAAACCTTAAAGTATAAATTGGCTCTCCTCACATACACCTTTGTTTACTTTGATATCAATCTTTCCTACCACTTGCTCTTTGTATACTACTGTAAATTGTGGCAACTTGAACGGTGTACTTGCATGCAAGGTTCTACGTTGACTTTGTCTTGTCTGTTTTCATTTCTAACGTTGTGACGCCACGACACAAAGGCCAGGCTAAGAAGACTACGGGGCTTGAACACTTAAAACCTTCACGTATCCTCCACCCTTATTATCTGTGTTTCACAGCCACATAGTAGAAAGAAACAAAATGCACTGCAATATACTCGACCCTTAATAGGTAGTCGAAATCATATCGACTCTATCGATAAGATGAGTTGGCAAATTCTGAGCAGAGATTTTATATGGAAATAGAAATTTCTCGTATCACTGACCCACAAGCAGTTGATGCGAATTTCACAGCAACTGAGATGATCAACACGCTCGTTCACTTCACTTTCTTGGGAATTCGCATTAGGTCGAATTGACTGGTTGCTGATGAAATATCAATTCGGGCGAAGAAGTTTCGTTCGGTACTTGCCAACTTGCGACATTTCTGGGGCTGGCTGGAGAGACATCCGACTAATGCGCTGGAATTCCTTCTGTTTCGTTATTAGGCTTTGAGACGTAGCCGTTAAAACTAGATGTGAAAAGACTACATTTTATCTAAGGTAGGTACGTTCGTAGCACTGTTCATGTAAGGTGTAGTCATCGTATGAGCAATGTAGAAAGTTAAGTCAAAGGTACTAGGTAGGAAAGGAAAGTCGGTTGATGAGTTTGTGGACCTTCAGGAATTAAGGTGGATTGGATATGTATGTAGCACTCTAAGCCACCACCTACCTCAACGTGAAATGCTAGTCAAATTTAGATTGGGTTGGAAGAGCGCTAATGGTGACTAGACTAAGAATTACCACCAGTTGATGAGTATGGTGAATAAATAAAATTAGGAGAAGTGTAAAATAAGGTGATGCATATTGTTAGTTGGTTGGAGGCAACCAGCAGGAAGGAAACCGTGGTCCTGGAGTTCGTGCTTCTTGAACCACATTGGCAAAGTGTGTCTGCAACCTCGACACAGATAAGGAGACAAAATTATTGCAGAACCTCGCACACAAGTGCAGTGGTTCATCTTGCCAAAATCCAAAACAGCATACAAAGAAACAAGTGAGTAGAGAAAGATGTTTGTCACTTTAACACCTTACGGTTGACAATCAAATGCTGCCTTCAGACCAAGAAATGTGGTACATGTTAGCCGCCGATAATTATGCCTATGTTCCATAAGCTGACGAAAGGCTAAAATATGATCTTTTCACCATCATCCAGGTGTGAAACCTGACTGGTTTCCTGGAGTTTACTGTTCTTGAGCTTCACGTAAATGTCGGATAACTATGGACCCCAGGATCTTGTTCGCAATATTAGTCCCCCATGGTTGTCACAAAAAGATTTCTTTCCCTTCGTGTAAACTGGAATGATTAGGAAAGTCAACCAATCTTATTGAATTGTCTTTAATTTTTATGCACATGCGAGTACCTTCGTCACTCTGAGCAGCGATTTCCTACTTCTCTTCTTGAAAACTTCGGGTGGCAAACCACCATGTCCTGTTGTTTCTAATCGTTTCAGGCTGGAAACTTCGAGGACAGTTAGAGGACCGGCACCCACATCCCATTGAGGTTTGGGTCAGATGCTTGCCAAATGAAGCCTTGTTATGAACCAGTTGAGCCATGCTTCACATTGTTGTGTTCAACTTTCTAACCGTGTTTTTTAAGAGGCTATCATTGTCTCATCTTTTCCGTTGATGTTTCCACTCACCATCGTTTTCTTGCCAGTATCATTCATAGGCGTAATTAGTTGTCGGATATTACCTTATGCTGATGCCTTCTTCATCTCTTTGGCTTTCATCACCCACCACTGATCATAGTCATTGTGAAAACACGCATTTCATTTCCATTTGAGCTGCTTTCGCTATTCATTGTGGTCAGAACCAGTCTTGTAAAATCTCGCATGAATCATTTCGAATGAGGTTACAGAAATCCACTGGTTTTCACTGACTAACTATATCTATCTCTGTTTTTACACTAGACTGGATATCAAGCCAGGTATCTTTAGAATGAGGAATGGTGTCAAGTGTAGGATGTCCAAACCATCAGTCTCTGTAGATAATTGCCAATTTATTACAGTCGATATCAATTGTTCGTTGCCAAATGTAGTGTACTAACTGTTCAGTCAGTATTGTTGTGGACAAGTTGATTTATTCATTCACTGAATTATGATTTCTTATTTTACTTGATTTTGTCGCGTAAAAGTAAACCACACTTTATTCTTCGGTTCATTCTACTCGACTTGACCATTTTATAATCGTATTTTCTGTAAGCTTATTTGCTAACAACTTCCGTAAATTTTCATACTACTGGTATTTCCCAGCAACCATTGAAAACCTGGAAGCACTGGAAAACTGTTTCGTCCACGTTTTGGACCCCTCAGCAGTACGCACCCCACGACCCGGCTAGGGATCGAACTCAGGACCTTCAGGTTTCACGGCGAACATGTTAACCATTAAGTGCTCATTAGTGACATGCTTCTAAATGGATATCACGAAATTCCAATAAGAAGTCGTGACCTGTGGGTGCAACCAGTTGGAAAGGAGGTGGATGCCAACTCAAGACTTTGGGTGATAGTCACTCCACATCGTTAATTGACAGAAGTTGAAATCTGTGGATCATTGAACTCTGACTTAGTGACTGAGGATCAACACGTTCACCGTGAAGCCTTTAGGTTGTGAGTTCGACCCGTAGAGGCGTCGTGAGTGAGAACTGCTGAGAAGTCGCATACTAGGACCGAACAGCTGTCCAGTGCTCCTAGGTTTTTAATGGTTTCTTAACTGATGTCAATCCGTGGTGAATACTACCTCTAAATTCATTGCTATCACAGAAACCTACAAATTTTTCATCAGTTTACAGTGAACACTAGTTTCAATCTATGCGGCGTAACCTAGTCACCTTTGTTCTTTCACATTGGTTTTCTTTATAACTACTAATGTATCTATTATGTGTTTAATTTTTCTGTCTGAATTGTTTATTATGAATAGGTTATGTTTTTAATTGTTAGACGCTAGTCGAATCAATGTACAACATTTTCTGAAAGTGTTCGTCAACAATCCTAAAGGCTTGATGAAATTTCTTGATCGATATATTAATGTGAGTTTTAATTGTTTTTTTTTTCTACGTTAGTGTTTAATTCAATTTAATCGTCAGTTTTATAGGAGAGTTTGAAGAATCATTGAAATACTGATTAACATGTATCATTTGTTGTAAACACCGAATTTGATTCTTGGTGTGTTAAATATTTCAAGTTTTTGATATTTTAGTGAATTAAACCTTGTTTCTTGATACATTTTCTGTAACTTGAAGATTTCAACCGATTTCTCCTAAAATGTGCTTATTCTGTTTATTTATCGATTTATTTCCATACAATTTCTGTACAATATGAAGGTCGAGAAATACACCACATATTTATCCTTAGAAAAGTTTAATTTTGTTGCGCTTTCTAAAGGGTACAGAGTATTTCTCTTATTGACTACGAGGAACCTACTTGAAGATTACTGATCATTAATGATAGTAATAATTATGTCTTTTCAAGATATCTTCTAATTACAATAAGTTATCAGACAGTTGACATTAATGTCTTACTTTTTTTTTGTTTATTTTTACATATTCTAGACTGCTGCACCATCTAAATTGGTTACTGGTGTTGTGGATACATTTTTGGAGTTAATTCTATATGAAGCGAATCGATTAAAAGTTGATAATACGTGCTCCGGTAAACAATCAGTTCAATTACTTCAAATGGCTATGGAATTATTACTGAATAATGAAGTTAGTCTACTTTAATTCATATAAATTTCACTATGATAAAGTTTGCTTATGATTGGATTAGTAAAATCAGAGATCTCCTTGCATATTTTCAGCGTTCATTATTTCAAAGTATAAATTCTATTTGGATGTTATAAGTTAAGTATTTTATTGCTATAAGTAAGGGATTTTGTTGGTTTGAAAATTTTACTGTGTCACATTAGGATGTTTTTCTTTTGTCACTATCATCATCTGAATGAAAATTACTATTTGTATTGTTCATGTCCGTTCAGTTGACAATAAGCCGTACCTATTGTTTGAATACAACTCGTAAGAATCTTCTCCTCATGAATTTACAGTATAATAAAGACGTATCAACAGATATATTGATAAACCGGTCAGCATGTTCATTGAGAAACACTTTCTGTTTTGCGAAATTCAAATTACCTATCTCTGCTTACCGAATCCTCTGATTATACGTGAAGGATAAAGAAGCTGTCTTGGCCACCTCGATGTGTGTAAATCAATTCACCTGCTTTTTTTGAGTAAGATATGTTGATCCTACTCAGTGTTCGCTTTCCAAATAAATTTTCGAACATACAGTAGTCTAATTCCATACAAGGAGAAAGGATACCACTTTGTAGCTTTATTTTAGAATATTTGATTGATTGTGACCACTCTGTAAATACAGAAAACAACCTCTGCGTCATCTAAAGAGTTCATGCCAGCCTTCTGAAGAAAGTTTTACGTCTTCAATTTCTTAAAACTGGGGAGGCCAATACAACTAATATTTTGAAGCCTGAACTATAAATTCAAAAACGTTTGTGCTGTCATTTGAACATGACTCATAAGAACATTTTGCTCTCAAATTTTTTCCTTTCATGTCTTCTTGTAAACCATATTCTTCCACCCTTCCAAATCTGTTTTCTCATTACATTCACCAGTTCCCTTTAACCATATTACGTCATATAATTTATTTTATTTGTCCCTTGGGTCCCTAGTGAAACATAGGGCTTCAAAGACACATCGCCATTTCACTCTGTTCTCTGCAGTCTTTTGAATCTGGCTCCACAACTACCCAGAAGCTTTCATCTATTCCTCACATGATCTCCTCCATATTACCCTCGAACGTTCAACTCGTCGTTTTCCCTTTGGGTTCGACTCGAGTGCCTGGCCTTGCGCGTGATGTCCCCGAATGGTCTTCTCAGTGTATACCCAATCCAGTTCATCTCCACCTCATTGTGCATAGTTGTTGGGCGATAGGTTGTTGATTGGTTCGTTGCCAGCCAGAGTTCCTTTTCCTTGTTGCTTATTTTTATTATTCTGGCAATCCATGTGATCTTTGGTGTCAGTATCGAGTGAGTGGAGGTGGCAGCTGTTGATGTATTTGTGTAGTTTGTTGGAAATGCTTTTTGTGAGGCGCCGCCAAGCCTGTGAACCATCACATGGAAGCACTGACTGACTTAGTGTTGAGAATCAGGATATTGTTCAGGCCTTATGCTGAGTGGAGTGGGTTGGAGTGTAGTGTAGTGTAGTGTAGTAGATCTCCACACTGATTTCAGATTAATGCAGTAAGGTCTGTGTTGGTGTCTTTCCGATCCTGGCCGCTTCGATATGCTCATCTGTGCCACCGCCACTGCCACCAGTAGTTGAAAGGATACTGCCGAGGTGTGTAGGTGAAAGAGACAACTTGCTTCAGATTTCTCCCGTTGATGGTGATTGGTGCTTGTTGTTGTTGTTGGTCGAGTATCTTGATGACCTCTGTCTTCTCTACATTGGCTTGAAGTGCCGTCTTCCTTCTCTGCCTCTCCTCACCTCTTCTGCCAACTTGTTAGTTTGTTGGGTTTCGCCTGTAGAATTTTGAGTTTGTGCGATATGACACTAGACATAAATCATCATCATCATCGTCATCGGTGGCGGTGAAATCGAAATCTTTTTCTGATGTGTTTTAATCGATCCAGTCAGGTTATGGCCACCTTCTCGCTCCTCACAGTTGTGTGTTGCATGATGCAGTCCAGTCCAGTCTAGACGAGTCCATTTGAGTCGACGGCAATCAGGAATATGATCGGTAATCGTAGGTGGCTAGCTTGTCTTACTCCTGTCTTCACTTCCACTCGAAAGGGATTACTGAGCTTTCCATTGTATTGTGAATCAGTTGGCACGTTGCATCCTGATATAGGTGTTGAATGAGGTTGATAGTGGATTGTGGCACTGAGACCGTAGTGTTGAAGTAGCTGTCTGTTAAATTACTTGTCGTTGGAAGCTGTCGTATGCCTTTTCAAAGTGGATGAAGTTGAGGTGAGGTATAGAGTTGATTGGTATTCTATTCTGTGTTCTATGACGATGATGATGATGCGTGGCGTAGCGTAGCATTTGAATTTGTTCAGTACATGATTTGTTTTTCGTGAAACCAGCCAGCCAGTCGGCCAGCCAGGGAGTTTTTGTTGTCGTTTTGAATCGAGAGTATATTTTCGTCTCTCCAGGATGATGTGTCTTAATATTTAGCTTTGGGTGGACAGTGACAAGAGGATGATTCCGCGCCAGTTTTTGGAAATACTTACGTCTCCTTTGTTTGGGACTTTCGCAAGGTAGCCATCCTTGCAATCTGCAGGTATCTTTCCTTCTGCAATACGTCATATAACTTAGTAACGTAATATTGCTGCACTACGTAATCCTCTTTTCTTCGATCTCCTGATTGAGGTTGTTTGTGATTATTTTTGGAACTCAAAACGTTGATTTGAACCTTACTGCTGTCGACAAACTTGGTCGGTCCCTCGTCTGTATGGTCTATTTAAAGTGCAGAGAGATTGTGTTCCAATTCATCTGATACTAAACATGACTAGTTGTCACTCAATTTGAAATTGATTTAGTGAGATACTTGAACCTGGTAAGAATGAAATTCCGAACCCTGATAGATACAATCTTATGATGATAATCAAAATGTAACAAACTGTGTAAAGCTATCCATGTTTAGATAAGAAGTTCCATAGTGTATCAAAATACTCAAAAAATCAAATGGTATCGAGAAAAGAATAGAAGAAGAAATGAATTTACGTGATATAAAAAGTAAACAGAGATCACGTAAACTAGAAATGAAGATTATAAAAGGAAAGAGGACAAAAATTGTCGTTTTTAAACCCACAAGTCTAAATTCATCGTTTTGTTTGTTAGAGCTCAGTTGACGCAAAGAATATGACGGTGTACGATGCTTAAGTTTTTAAAAACTTAATTAATGACTTGATCTATCAGGTTTCTCGAAACTTAATGATCAGTATTGTTAAAGTGAATGATCTTAACAACTTCTACAGATCCAAAAAGTGTACGAGTTTGCAGTTGTTCCACTTCAAGAATGAAATATCCACTGGATATAATACTGTTTTAAATCCGTAGTTACCATATGAGATAATGAGGTAGAATCTTACCAAGTCGTTGAATATAAGACTGTCAAGTTTCTCTTTTAAACCCAGATTTTGCTTTGTTCAAATCAAACAGTTATAAATGATGATGTAGTTTATAAAACAACTGAAGTATTATATAGTCCGAGTACTAATGGAATCATACAGGTATACATGCCACTTAAGAGTCTTAGTCCTGAATGATGACTTATTTATCCGTAGTACCTTCTTTTATCATCTCTAAAAAATTTATGATCCCCAATAGCTTCATTATGATGAGAAGAAAGCATTGGTCCTTTGCCATCAACGGGAATTTTATGAAGGTTGTATTTATCTTTGGGAGAAACAAAAGCTGTGAGTTGACATTTTTATTTCCCGACTAACTTTACGCTTATTTCTTCAATTGATATTTCTAAGTCGTTTTCTCCATTTCACTTTATTTTAGATATGATCAAATGCTTGCTCATTACATTAAACGGGATATGAATAGTGAAATATTAAACGTGTGTGAAAAATATGGGTATGTCTATTTATATCTGTTAATTGCTCCTTCTGGCTAAATTAGGTGTATTTATACAGAATCTACTCAGCAGTTAAATGCACTTTCGTGCAGTAGACAATGAGTCAAATCTATTGTGTAAAGATTAGTTATCATTCCTGCCTTTCCAGACCTCTGTAGTTGTACCGGGGTTCGAACCCGTAACGCATTGATCGGAAGTCGAGCGCGTAGACCAGTGAGTCACAGCTTCACGTAGGTTTTCCTACAAGTTTGTTTCGTAAAATCTTGACTAAGTATTCTAGTAAGTGAATTGCCTGAGATTTTGTTCATAGACTTGGATCACACCGTTCCTATTTCTCTTTAAAACTTGGTTCGCAATACACCATACAAGCCTTTTCTTACTTATTCTGTTTTACTCACCTGTTAGCAGAATTTCAGTATATCTGTCCCTTCTGTTGATTCATGACAAGACTATAATATTTTATCACTTATTTGGATATAATTGACTTGGTTATGGCCTGCAGTAAAATCCGGGACGCGCGTTTTCCTTTATTTAGGACCATTCATGCCCAAACCCAATGATTGATATTGTTTCCACTGAGACTCAAATCTGGTACCCATCGCTTCAAACAAGATCAATCACTGAGGTGAAGGTACACCCAGCTGACGAGTCTTTAATAGGAAGAGACGTGTGTCCTGGATCTCACTGCTAGCCACAACCAGGTCACTTATCACAATAAATATTCAAGCAATATCGAGGCATCCGCATAAAATACTATATGCCCATCGACGTCGATCACTTCAATCCACTATAACAATGGAGGATTACAAGTATCAACAAATAGTAACATTCGGATCTATTTTGCGAGGCTAGTTAGCAGCAAAGCTTCTAACTCAAAACCTCATGTGAACATACAAAAGGAACAGGTCTGAATCATCGAGAGCATTTATCATTTCATTAATCAATCGTAGCAAATCATAACAAATAAGTATGTATACAAGGGTTTGGTTCTAACCAAAATCGAGTAAAGTTAACTGATGGAGAAGTAAATAGCTCTGAAAATTCCAAAGAAATAAACTACCAGTCATAGCGTTGAAAAATTATAGAAGAAGACAAAGAATTCAAATCTAGAATAAATAAAATTAGACGATTGAGGCGAATATTGAAATTTCTTATCAGTTGCACCGGTCACGTTGTTTTTAGGGTTTCGAAAAATTTATCTTCTCTGTGCAATGAAATTCATTAATTAATCTTTTAGTTCTGTTACAACATGATGACTGGAACTGAAGTAAGATCCCGGCATTTAAAGGATAAAAAGAATTCGTTTACACCTAAATTGTACAAGAAAATGTATGTAATTTTATAAGAAATCTATGAAGAATAAAAGGTAACTAAACGTCATTCGCTAGTCAACTAATATAATCCCTGGCTGTCAGTCTTGTTCGCTAACTGTTATGTCAAATTTATACAAGATGGTATAGTCAGATAATGCTGAATACATGCTATGTATGCAGCTTCCAGAACGCCTATAATAAGTTTAATATTTGCAGTAGTTTGTCAAAAATGGTAGCAACAAACAAAGTTTGATATCACTTTTAGCATTTAAAAAGTTGGGGTTAACGATTGGATTACTTTGTTTTGAGCTATAGATACCCAGGATAACAATGTAAATGACAATGAGCTCTGTACTACTGTGCATCGATTCGACCAACTATCCTTTTGTGTGAAGTACTACATAAATACTCACAAATAGCGTATACCTTTGTTAGAGTAAAGCTTCGACGAGAAAATCGCAGCTGAGTTTCTTCTTTCACTGCACTTTTAAACAGAAAAAAGTGTGAATTAACAGTATATTACTCCAAATGCGTTTGGGGAATAGCTTTTATTATCAGCTTTTATCTTCAGTACTCTATCGAAAGCTACTTGAGGGCCCAGTTGAGAATGATCTTGAAGAAAAACGGGATTTAAGGATATATATATATATATATATATATATATATATATTTACGTGGCTAGCGGAGCAATCCAGGACGTACGTTTTTTCGAAATATAAATAAATATTTAGGAAATTTTGAAGCATCCACATAGGAGCTCATATGTCAACAGAGGTCGAAGAATTCGATCCAGCATAACAATGGAGAATTTCAAGTAAATCAACAAAGAGTTATGACATACTTCTCGGTTATATTCTTCAAAATATGTGAGATATGATTAAAATTTTTCTACCAATGTTGAGATGACTGTAGTTATGTTTCACTATCTTAACGAAATATTTTTCCCGCCGGCACTTTATTTTCGGTCGAATATTTAAAACATGAAGGTAGTAGGTAACTTTTTCATTTGTTAGTCTTGATGTCTTATTGAGAACAACATTGCTGATTGGAAGGCGAAGGTACATTCAGCTAATGAGTCCTATGTTGGAAGAAACACTTGTCATAGATTCCACTGCTAGCCAATATCTGTCATGAATATGTTTCATTTAATGTTCAAATTCACCAAAAGTTCACACTTGTAACTTTTTGAGTGTTGGAAATGTGGTACTTTTATCTTACAGCGACGAAATCATGTTTTGAAACACTTGACTGAACTTTAGTAGATAATACTTTAGTCGATTATAACACTGATAATAAATATTCAATGCTGTTTCTTTGTATATAGTATGGAATCTATTAGCGCATGTCACCTTGTGATTTAGTGTAACTTTTATTACGATTTTTTCAATGTTACACCCATTATATCGACTTTAGTACAGTGTAACCCTAATGGGAAACGACGACTCGGACGTCCAAGGGTGACATGGAGGAGATTGTGTGAAAGCTTCTGGGCAGCCGTAGAGCCAGGTTCATAAGACTGCTGAGAACAGAGTGAAATGGCGACGTGTTTTTGAAGCCCTATGCTTCACTAGGAACCCAAGGGACAAGTAACAATAATAATAATAATAACAATAATAATATACGCACAACCCAACACTGCGAAACTTTCAACTGCTGAGAAAATGATTTTGTCCGATAATCTCGACTTTTTACCAATAATATGTGTGAAGAGGTTCAATTTTTTAAGACTTAAAGAAATTATTCAACTCTACTCATTCTATTTTGTTGCTTACAGTTTATTTCTTTCTTGATGACTACAAAAGCATTAACGTATTTTCTCATCCACTTCTCTAGTAATCAAATGCCAAATTTATGGCTTACTGCTTTGGTTTATTATGCGCATAAACCTGAACATTCAGATATTCTGAGACATGTTGTAGACCGTGAGTTTTATTATCTTCATTTTCTTAGTTTGCTTTTTTTCTAAATAACCTTGATCTCTTGTTTGTACTGTGTTGTCTGAACTGTCTTTTCTAGACAGCGAAAGCTTCATGGCGTTCTCATTTTCAAGTTGAACACAGAGTCCTTGTATGGTAGTCACGCTATATCGCGAATCCAAAAAAGTAGGAAACTATGAAACCATTTAACTCCGACCCTGTAACGTAATTTTTAACACGTTTGCCGTAAAATCCGATAATCCTGAATTCTATCCCTACCTGGGTCATGCGTGCATACTGCTGATGAGTCCTATACTGGGACGAAACAGCTGTCCAGTGCTCTCAGGTTTTCAATGATTCCCTAATTGGTGTCACTCCGTGATGAATGCTACCTCTATACTAATTGTTCTGTTCGAAATGGTGTAATCCATCCCTAGTCTTTTCATCTTTCCTTATCAATTTGTTACCACCTTCCAAGCTAATCTCAGTTCTGTGTGACATAAGTATGTGTTGCCATGCCTCATTCAATATCTTAGTCTGTATTATGTTTGAATGCATTCCCTTATTGAATATAACAGTATATTAAATTATGTATATACAGCAAGAAGCTGACGAATCCTACTGAAATCTATGAATTCAATAAATCCTGCTTTAATTATGTTTTTTGCTTGTTTCAGACTTGTATCGAAAAACAAATGTTTTCAATTCCTTAATAATTTCTCTTCATAAAATTTGATCACTGTGTGATATTAGTTATAATCAAATTGATTCATGATAACTTAGTCTATCGCATCATAGTTCTTTTGATTATTTGACAGTTTATTACAATTCTTTACTGTCTTGGATTCCTCTTCTAGCCATAGTCAGGTGAAATGTTCCTTTTTTTGATATTCTTTTTCATTATAGAAGTGGATAGCCTAAATTTGGCATCACCTCTTGTTGTTTTACAAATATTATCTGATGGTGACCCTGAACAGTGTTGTAATATTGGAACAATTCGTGTAAGTTTCACCCTATAGTTTTGTTTATTTCATATTTCATTACGTATTACTTAATGTTGACTCACATTGCTGCTTTCTACCTAGTTACCAATTATCTGTTAGATTATTTACATTCAATCAGGTGTTGTAGGTGATGGATATAACATAATGTGATACTCAAACATTTTAATCTTTATGCATTGATGCTGTTGTGCTTAGATTTTACTCTCTCTCTCTCTCTGCTTGTACTTCTGTCTGTGGTTATCTTTTATGCTTAGGAATATCTTCTTCGTCATTTGGAAGCTGGTAGTAATCAAATTAATATTATGAAAAATGAAGTTGATCGTCTTCGCAAAGAAACAATGCATAACCGTGAAGTTGTGCGTAAATTGAACAGTCAGTAAGTTTATTATTTGATATAATCTAATCATATTTGAATTTTACTGTTGAAAAAGTGAAAATTAACAGCTAGATGTTTATATAGCTGACTAAGTTGATAGATGTTTCCTGTAGTAGGTTACAAATCCGTTATCTACTGTGTGAAAGTCGACTACTTTGTGATAATGATCTACAAATTTGTTAATGCGTATTTCGTAAAGTTCTACCCTAGTAAAACATTTATTGTTTTATCGACTATTTTAACCGTGAATTTGAATGGAATTCATCTGACCTATTTAGTTCTACTTGATACTTTTGTTGCATACTCATTCAGATATAAATATTCTTATTGAGTGATAAAAGCAGAAAGACATCAGCGAGCAAACTCTTTTTCATTGAAATCGTTTTCAACGGATGTACAATCGATAATTCTTATTGATATAAGAATCAACTCAATGACCCATAGCTGCTACCTTTCAGTACTGGTTAAAATTGTATATCACTATAACTCAACCAACTATGTTGGTCGAGCACCTGGTTCCTCGAGGCCCTACCATACCAGAAAAGCAAAACTAAGTAGACTGAGCTAAACAGAAAGGTACTTAGGTGATACCTTCGAAATTCCAGTCGAACGAGAAAATAATGGTGATCACTTGCTACAATCGTGCTCAGACAACTACTGACTTGTGACGAGCAAAACTTCAGACATGAAGAGAAACATTGTTTGAATTGGTGGACACGGATACTGAAATAGTGACTGACGAGAAGTCTGCGCAATCAGTGTTGGGTAGTAAAGGTTAAAGAGATAAAAAGGACAGCAGAACTAGGTCAGCCTTTGGTGAAACCGTAGCGAAGAAGGATGTGCCTTCGTTTTATTTATATGGAAGGCATGAGCAACTATTCAACTGGCCTCTATCTACTCTTGGGTTGCCTGCTCTCCAGTCAGGTCCTGGAAAAAACATTTAAACAGGGCCTCCAACAATTACAAAAGTTGTGAAAGCTGTATTGCCTGGTCACTAACGAGCAACCAATTTCATATTGTCTAATCCTGAACCCTGACCGAATTTTGTCAATCATTTCGCAATGTGGCCGCCGGGTTAGGAGGCTCACCGTTGCAGGGCACGAAACCTAGGTCCAGGGCTTCCTGCTTGTCTGGTACCCTTCGCTGAACCTCGAGATTACTCTTACGGTTATTCCATTTAACGTGAGCAATGTTACGAGGACACATGTGATCAAAGGCCCGTAACCCCTTCATGCCATCTACCTTCAACAGCCACATCTCACAGCCGTATAACAGAACACAAAGGACTAAAGTGCAGTGTACTCGTCCTTTGATAAGTAGTCGGGTATCTCAAAAGTCGGCGCCATAGGTAATGCAAGTTGGCAAATATCGAACTGGCCATCTGTATCCCAGCTGAGATTTCGTCAGTAGCCAGCCGTCCAGACTGATGCTACTCAAGTAAATGAAGTGGTCGACATATTCCAACACCACTCCATATCAATAAACTTAAAGTACTTACAACAGACCACTCCTAGAGCATCATCTTACACGTGGCAGGTGCGAGAAGTATGCCAAACACACTTGATGCTTTTACATAATCCTGAATTTTGTCATCGTCTTCAGTTAGCAGAACAATATAATCTACTTACTTCAAATCAAGCACATACCCTCTGGGGAGTAGGTTAATCTTTTTGAAGTCAGAAGTAACTAATTTTAAGCACAAAAGTGCAGCTATAATGAAATTAAGCAGGAATAGTGGCCGTGGACTCCACTATTCGTCATCAATTTAGATGCAACTCTCTGTGAGCCCTTATATGCTGCGTGAGTTCAAGTAGAGAGCTTCGATAAGCAGTGTATACTTACTTGGTAATTTTTTTTACAGTCAGACACTGCCACAACACATCACGGCCAACAGAGTCGAATGCCGACTTCAGGCCAAAAAATGTGGCAAGTATCGGTTGCCGGTAAGTATCTCTGTGTTTCGAGATCTGTCGAGTGGTGAAATTCTGATCGATGCAACTTCATCCAGGGGTTAAAACTGTCTGCTTTTTTCTAGTTTACTGTTCTGAAACTCCTGTCGGGCAACGCATAACTGTGGGCCTAAGGATGTTGGACACAGTATTAGTCAAACTAATTTCGCTAAGATTGTCATCGGAAGACCTTTTTGTCTTATTATGAAATGGAATGATAAGTGAAGCAGGCCTGTCTGACGGGACTATCTCCGATTCCTATGTAATATCTAGTTCCTCTGTGACTCTACTGATTATTTCTCTCCCTCGTTCTTAGACGCTTCATTTGGCGAACCTCCAGATCCTGTTGCTTTTCGTCGTTCCAGGTTCGATACAGCCTTAATTACTGTGGGCCAATTGATATGAGCTTCATGGTGTTCTAGCCATCTTTCACACGAGGTTATCAAGGCTCCATAGTTTGGGGCAAAGTGTCACTGTCCATCGTCTTTTTCTTGCCAACAACCTTTATAAGCCTAAATAATTCCTGGATATCACCTTATGCTGATTCCTTCTCCATTTGTCTTGCTTTCGTCACCCATCACCATTTCGGATCATTGTTTAAACTCTTATTTCATCTACCTTTGAACTGCTTTCTTTCTTTATTGTGGTCAGGGCCAACTTTTATGAATCTTCTCAAATCAAACATTTCGGATAAGATCATTGATTTTCACTGACTGTTAAATATGTTTTACCAACCGTCTGTACCACTGTTTCTGCAGCAAAGTTAATGCCATTCCAGGTTTCCTCAGAATGAGCATTGCTTTCACGTTCAGATAAATGCCCAGCTATCTCCTGTCTAAATGCTTACTTTATGTTTTCATATTCAAATCCATCACACATCGTCGTAGCTAAATATCACTTCTTGATTGGCTTTACAATAGAGATGAAATCAAACTCAATGATACCATTCGTCAACGTATTCCTAACCAAAAGATATAATAAAACACTTAACGGATCTGTTTATTAAAAACCTGTGTATGGTGGACAATTGACAAACTTTCACAATTATGTTTTCGTATGAGCCGAAAAAGAAATTTGATCCATTAGCTTCCCTTTCATATACGAAGAACTTATACTCCTGACACTTCAGAAGGCGAAATTCAGCTACTAAGAGCAGTTTTTATCAGAAATGGATACCCTAAAAGATTCATTGATAAAAGTCTGCAATTCAGCTCTACTCATCACTCTAGAATTAATATAGTTAGCAAAAACGTAGTTTTGAACTTGGAATTGGTTATAGCAGATGATTTGTTAAGCGCAAACCAATAAAGCCAGTTAAAAGAACATTCTATGCAGTCACTCCGCAAATTACGTATTATAGTTGTTCAATATTGAACGCGTGTGTGAATGAGAAATTCCCCGTACTAGTCACTTCGATGTATATATATATATATATATATATATATATAATATATATATATATTATATATATATAATATATATGAGTTCACATGTTCTTTTGGAGCTGGGTACATAGGGGGGTACTCAGAGATAAGTTGATCGGAATCTACCCTGACACCTTCCAGTATGCTTCATTAAAGGTCAACGCAGATTAATTAACTGCTCTAAACTACAACATTTGATCGCGAATTGACATAGTTCCAGAAGATCCGTTTGCATTTGTCTACGAAGAGTGTGACAAGACGTTTATTTTACATTGCTGAGGTTCTACCAATTCAAAAATTGAAACCGGCATTGTATATCCAGAGGCAAATTCGCCATTCATTGTCCTTATTCACTTAATTTTTAAACTTGCCAATTTTTAATCCATACCGCCCTTTCAAATTTTCATGTTGTTACTAAGTAGACTTTCTTTTAGCTCAATTTTCTATTTTTTATTCCCTTCCACATTAAAATCTCTTTACTCGCTTTGTTAAGAACTGGTCGCTGGTTCGAATCCAGCCTCTGTCCAGATTTTCATCTCACCTTCAATCACCACCCAGCATAAATAGTCTGTCAAGCTGCGGGTATCTCAGATAGTCAAATGATAGCTCTTGACTTCGACTCACTTAATTACTCGCCTTGTCAAATTTTTTCGTACTTCTTACGTAATTTGCAATCCCTAGGTTATTTTCTTGGTCAGTATCTACACTGGGTGATGATTGAAGATGAAATGAGAATTTATACCGCAGCGGAATTCGAACCAGCTACCACCAGGTTTCCGACTCGATGCTCCACCGACTGAGCTACGAGACCTGTCTGCTGACCAAATTTTCATTTCACTTCAATCATCTGTCTGTTGAAAATTATTGACTAAGAAATGTTGACACATTTTCACCTCTAAACATGCACACTAATTCATATTTAAATATGGTTGTACAACTTTTGAGAATGATTTCGCTGAAAGCAAATATGTTCACTGAAGTTTTTCCTTATTCAGATATACCTTACAGTTAGTATACGAATTTGTGCATGATGATTCAGGTAACGTGACATATTCTGGGTTACTTCTCAACATAAACATCATTTACGTTTGTCGATGCTACAGCATGTCGTGAAGAATCTATTTTCAGAGTGTATAGTAGAAGATGAGTTACTCAATTCTTGACTATCCGGTCATGCATTCTTACTCATACCGCTTACTTTGGTGCAAGTAAGCAGTTGTCCCTGATATTTTAGGTCTCGTTCATATCCTGCGTGAGTGTGTACATAAATTTGTTAACGATAAAGACGCTGACCAAATACAAGGTCATATGAACGCGTTGAACAGAAATCTAATTATGTTTGACTGGCATTCGTTTTGCACGTGTCAAATGTAAGATGATGCTCCAGGAGTGTTCTGCTGAAAGTACTCCCACTTTAATGATAAAGAATGAAGTGATGGAGTATGTCAACAACTTCATTTACTTGCGAAGTTGCATCAGTTTGAATGGACTGGTTACTAATGAAATCTCATCTCGGATATAGATGGCCCTTTTGGGATTTGCCAACTTGCGTCATCTATAGTGGCGACTGGCAGGATATCCGACTATCTATCAAAGGACTAATATACTACACTGTAGTTTGTTCTGTCCTGTTATACGGCTATGAGACATGGCTGTTGAAGGTAGATGAAATGAAGCGGTTAGACGTTTTTGATCACAGATGTCTTCGTAGCGTCGTTCGTGTCCTATGGAATCCCTATATGAGTAGTGCTGAGGTTAGGCGATGAGTACTAGATAAGATAGGCAGGTAGATTGGTGAAGTTGTGAACCTTTATGGAATGAGGTGACTTTGACATTTACTGCTCACGCCAAGCCACCAACTACCTTAATGCACCATGCTTGGAAAATTTGGATTAGATTAGAAGAGGGTTCAGGTTGGCTGACTAGACCAAGATATTGTACCAGTTGATGAAGTCTCTTATTGTTGATCTGAATCATATGGACAGATGTAGACTGCCTGATTGGGTTCGCCGAGACAAAAAGGAACCAGTGATTGAGAACTCTTGATGACATAGCTGAAAACTGGTCATAGTGGCACAGATGTAATTCGCTTATTGGCATCTTCAACAGCCTGATCATTTGCACTGACCTTTATCTTCATTTTGCTTATTCTCTCACACTACTTTATCTACTTTTCTATCCACCTGCTTTTTGTTTACCACTGTGAACTGTGGCAACTTGAGTCGATTCACCTATGTGCAAGTTTCTACGTTCATTTCATTAGTCAGATTTTGTAATTATCTAATGTATTATTAGTTTTATTATGTTTATTATATTTTAAGTGATAGCATACTAGAAGTGTATACTATTAATTTCTATGAACTGATCTTTGTTTTTACTTCAACTAACTGTAATTTTATACTCTAAACATTGTTCACTTGAATTTACGTTGAAAAAATATTTTTGTTCATATATTTTTCTGATAAATCACTGATGTGTTTTTTTTCATATTTTAACGTTTCAGGGTAAAAATATTCCAACAACAAAAATGCGTATTATGTCACCAAAGTCTTGATCCTCCATCAATTCACTTTTTATGTGACCATTCGTATCATAAAGTGTAAGTTATCTACTTTAACTTTGCCTCGTCGAATTCATTTTAATAGTTAATATAAGAGTAGAACTTGGGCCCAATGGTGGTGTATAATTCCATATTAGACTATTTGATATTTCACATATTGATACGGCTTTTATTTACTGGATAATTGAATCCAGAACGCGTGTTTCTACCTAATTGGGATACCTAGTTAGGGATGGTGTTCTCACTGATACTCGAACCTAACACCTATCGCTTTAAATGCTAAAGCGTTATCTATGAGGCCAATGAAACACAGTGAATGTAGTTTACTTGGCGGCTAGCAACGTAGTCTAGGACGCGCGTTTCCAGTAAGTAATGGCTTTTCATTGTGTGAGCTATTCAGTCACGAATGTCAAGTAGAATCATCCGTATGTTGTCATTATGAATATGTTTTGCTATTTATTATTTACACCAAAAATCTAGATATAAGTATATCAATAGTCACACGCCACGAGTTTTTTCTTCAGCAGCTATCTAAGTGAACTTTCTTCTTAGTGAATCTGACACTTAAAACATAATGTGTCCTATAGCCAGTGAATAAAATCTGTAATTTGACCTTCTGTATCTAACGCTAATCAAAGCTCTTTGCTCGAATTAACTCAGACATGTTAAAACTAACGGAGTTTTCGTCTGAATCAGTGGCGACTAATGGTATCCGATAGGGATACGCTCTGTCACTGTTCCTATTTAATTTTGATATACATGTATGAGTAGCATAATCTTAGGTACGTCTGACTTCACAGCGCATCTGGTTGACTTAAAGTACGCAGACGATAATGTCCTGTTAAGTGAAGACACTGACGACATACAGTGTCTTGTGAATGCATTGAACAGAAATCTAAGTACGTTTGGCGTGCGTTTCGCTCTTGTCAAATGTAAGATGATGCTTCGGTACTAGTCTGCAACCGTTTCGACTTTTATGATAGGGAGTGAAGTGGTGGAATATAATGACCACTTCACTTACTTGGGAAGACGCATCAGCCTTAACAGGCTTGTCGCTGGTAGAATCTCAGCTTGAAGACAAGTCTCATTCAACACTTGCCAACTTGTGTCATGTCTGGCACCAACTAGGAAGATATCTGACTATCCATTAGTGGACGACTACACTGCACTGCGGTTTTACGGTTGTAAGACATGGCCGTTGAAAGTAGAAGATATGTAAACACTTCAGTTTATTGAACTTAGGTATCTTCGTAAAAATGCTGGCGTATGGAAGAATCATGATGTGAGCAATGCAGAAGTTAAGCGAAGGGTGATAGACAAAGAAGGAAATTTGGTAGACGAGATTGTAAACCTTCGACCACTGAGGCGGAATGGACATATGCTATGCATACTGAGTCACCACCTACCTCAACATGAAATCCCAGCAGAATGTGGATCAGGTTAGAAGAAAGCTCAGGAGGGTGACACTAATCAGTGTTGATCTCAGCCGAATGGGAAGGTGTAGACTTTCTGACCGGGGTCCTCGAGACGATAGGAATCAATCGTTGCAAACTCTTGGTGAGATATATTCTCTTTTTGACGTCTTCTAAAGCTTGAATATTTTCACCAACTTTTGTCTTGACATTGTTTCTTCGTATAAACAGTTGTGTTTACTTTTATATCAGCTTTTTCTATCCACTTCTTTCTTGTATAGTATTGAGAAGTATGAAAAAATTGAGCTGATACGGTTGTATCCGAGGGTCTGTGTTTATTTTGTTTTTCTTTCTGTCTAATTAGTTTTATCTGCAGTGTTTTTAAGGGTAAAGGAAGTTCATAAAATGCTATGATTCTCACATCATTCACTATTAGTATATGTCGCAGATAATTGTTGTAATCTAAGTTATAACAAAAGTAATCACTCTCACGTAATCACTATAGTTTTAAAGCTTACAAAATGAGTGATATAATCTTATTCCAAATAACCTGGATTCTTGTTTTATTACTGGTCTTCTATGATATGGTTGGCCAGTTTTTAAGTATTAAGAACTATTGTAAAGTTTTATTTCAAAGTTGTGCGAATTCAAAATGTGAATCTCAGTTTTGGTTACGGTTTCATATCGTTGTTATTCTAACGTTAGTCCTATTCAGGGTTTAACGTGTTGACTTTAGTCGCTTAAAGAACGTCTTTCTTCTATTAAGTTATCAGATATATAGAAGTTTTTCATGAACTGTATAATTTCATTTGTATAAACTTTTATTATCAAGTAAATTTTTTTTACAGATTTCTTGTAACCCTATTTTGTCTAGCATTATTTTAACGTCTTTAATGTTTTCAATGTAATTTACTGAGTATGCTTTGAAAGTGTACGCTGCATAAAGGATTACGCCACATCCTACCAGTTTGAATGTAGTTCTGGTTACACATACGTAGGGGAGGAGTTAATCGAAGAATATACCTAAACGGCTTCAAAAACAAGTAGAGTGTAAAACGTTGATAAGCATAGGTAAGAAATAACCGTTTTCATCTATAGCTAAACGTACTACAGAAACGGGTCACAAAATTAGTGTTCAAAGTTTTATGTGCAAACAGTCAGGGATGCATACTGACATTTGTGGAAACTATAGCCATACACGAATTGAAACCATCTTTGGGTGTGCAGAAACAATTTGTTTTTACACTACTTTTACCATGTTAAACTTTGTTTTATCAAGATTAGGAACAACTATCTCACTCCTCCTTTTTGTTTTCATCTTTCTTAATTTTAATCTCCCTATTATCTTAATTGTTATATTTTTCCTCTTATTCCCACTACGCCAGGTTTTACAACACAGACACGTTTACCGACTCCAGACACTAGCTGTATTTCTCTACCTGAAGGCCGCATCCGACTCCGTTGATCGAGAAGTCTTATAACAATGTCTCTCACTGAAAGGCGTGCTGAGTAAGTACATCACTTTATTGAAGGCTCTCTACTCGAACACTTGTCGGCATGTTAGAGCCTAAGATGAGATGTCCGGGGAGCTGTACTCGTCGAGTGGTGTCCACCAAGGGTGCCCACTGTCTCTATTCTTATTCAACTTTATCATAGATATTCATATGGAGGTGTCCCTTTTGTCACCTAATTACACAGAGGTTGACCTAATCACAGGAGAATTTTCGTTGCACCTAGGGTATGCAAATGACATAGTCCTGTTAGGTGAAGACTCTGACAAGATGCAGAGTCTTCTGAACACTTTGAGTGCCAATTGGAGAATGTTTGGGATGCGTTTTGTCACCACTCAAATGCAAATTGTTGCTCCGGGATTGGTCTTCAACGGTGCCCCACCGTGGCTAACAATAGAGAGTGAAGTGGTTGAGTGTGTTGACCACTTCACTTATCTGGAAAGTAGGATCACCTCTACTCTGGTGGCTCAGTGGCCGATGAAATCTCTGCACGAATACAAAAGGTTTGACTGGCTTTTACCAACTTACACCACCTGTGACGCCTCTGTGATATTTGATTGTCTATGAGGGGTGGTGTGTACTGCACCTGCACAGCAGTCCGGTCTGTTCTACTTTATGGCTGTGACACATGTTCATTGAAGATGGAAGACATGAGAAGGCTGGCTTCATGTGTTTGACGATGGTTGCCTTCGCGGCACAGGCCGCCGTATTCCGTGGTGTCACTGCCACGTGAGTAACTCAGAAGTCAGGTGTAGAGTTTTGGAGAGAAGAGTTAAGTCAGTTGACATGGTTGTGAACTTTCACCGACTGACTGAGATGGTTTGGACATGTGTTGCGTATACCTAGTCGCTGTCTGCCTCGTTACACAATGTTGACCGAAGTAGGTTCAGGCTGGACAATGGCTTGAGGTGGCCAGACTAAAACGTGACATCAATGTATTAAGTGTTTGACTGTTGTTTTGAGCCATGTGGGGCGATGCAGACACTGGCTGGTTGGAGTTCGTGTGACAAGAGGAACTAGTGGTTGGAGACTGTAGGTGTTCACATGGCTGAGAACGGATGTGGGTGGCGCAAATGTATACACAGATTATTCTCATCCTAACGAGGCTATACTGAATCTCACCATTTTCTCATTCTTCGTTTCTCTCTTTTCTTACTTTATATTTTATGTGACTGAATTTTCTTGTCTTCATTTTCCACTTCACTGCCTTTTTACTTGATGTGGTGATATGAGTTGAGGTGTAGTAACTTGAACTGTTAGACAGTGATGCATTTTCTTATCTTGATTTGGATGGACTTATCTTCTTACTCTTCGGTCTAATATAAATTGATTGGACAAGTAAATATGTGAACAGATTTTTCGAAGTGTATCGCACAAATACATAACATTTTTCAAATAAACTTCATCTTCTAGTTATGCTATCTGAAATCAATGATAATTTTTTATTTTCATTTTTTATCACTCAGATGCTTTGATAACTACGCCTATGGTGATCAACAATGTCCACAATGTGCACCTCGAAATAAGTAGGTTCTTGTTTTATTTAAATTGAAATAGAGTTTCATGTACAAATTTGAAGTGTATCATTTATGCTTGGTTATATATATATATATAATCACGTCTACAATTAGACAAACGATGGATCCGCTAACCATTTGTATTATTTCCAGCGGCTATCCCAATGGACATTTCTACACGTCCATTGTATCTTCTTCATTGATTGGTTGGGTCGAGAAATTGTTGAACTTTGGTGGCTGGCTGGCTGTCAATATCCTTGCATCGTTAACAGCTATAGCAATTTCAAATCATAGCAATTCTTCATCGAATTTTTTTCTCTGTGGATTATTTGTTTTGTTTTCACAGTTTTAAACGTATGAGTAAAAGTACTAACATTTTTTTCACCTCTAAGTGGCGTCAAATTCTCTGTATTTAATTTTTTGCCAATCAGCATATTCACAGGGAGTATGAGTCAAGTAGTTTTATTCTTTGGGAAAAGAATACCGTAAATCAAAGGCGGTTGCTTCATTGGTCTACCTAGCTATTACTTTTATTGGGCAAAAGATGTGGTAAAAACTTTTATGATTATTTAGTATTTATCACTACTACAAGCTATTTTCCTTTCATCGTCTCCATAATCCATGCATAAGTCAGTGTTTTTTTTATCATGTTACTTTTCTGTTTCGGCGTGTGACTATGGGTTTTAAGCTTGTTTTGGCCCAGTAGCTTGATGCTAGGCTACCTTGCTTACTACCTACAGAGGCTACCCTTAATACAGCCTAGGCTATATTTAATATCCAGAACTAAAAAATATATACTGCCTGAGACTCAGTAACGCAATTGTCTACGGTTTGCAATAATCTTGGTGGTCTATTGAAAGCTTATCGTATATAGGTTGATGGTTGCTAGCATCACTCTCAAGGCCCTTACGTGTCATCGGGGCGTTGTAATGCAAGCTACTCTTGCCTATAAAACTGTGTTTGACAGGTCGTTTAAACGGGAAGAGTCAGGACTGACTTGTCCACGCTGTGCATAATTGATTGACGCGATCAATGGTCGGAATAATAATCATACCTGCTTGTTCAAACAAATGGTGTAAATGGTCCACTGGGGTGAAGGCACCCGTGTGGTTGCGCCTCAGGATGAGACTGTATACCGTCTTGGTTTTAAAAAGCCTAGATGTGTGTTCCATTCTCTCCTGAAAACCAGTGTATAGATATCCGTTCAAATGACTAGTATGTATCATAATGTTGATCCTGCCAGTAGTCATATGATTGTCTCAGAGATTAAGCCATGTATGTCTAAGTACATACCTTAATACGGTGAAACCGTGAATGGCTCATTAAATCAGCTATGGTTTCTTAGATCGTAAATGCTACGTGGATAATTGTAGTAATTCTAGAGCTAACACATGCCATCAGCCGTGGTGATTAAAGTATGTGATACACTCTAAGCCGTTGTTCACTGTAACATACATTGTTAGCTGACTCATGTTAAATTTACACATGAAATGGAGCACATAACGATAGAGCATATTGATAACAACAAACTACGGTGTCTTTTGACGTTGCAACTCGATGCACCTCCATTGTATCAAAACTGGTTAAGGAATTAATAGCTCTTCTCCTCCTTAGTGGTACACACCTCTCGGCACACGCAACTGCAACGCTCAATTTTGGTGGAATTAATTAGTTTATGCCTTACAACATATTTTCAGTTCAATGGCAAACTCTACAAGTGGACAAAAGGGACATTAGTTGGATCATATATACCAGAAATAATTGCAGAAGCAATAAGCTGAAGTTTGAAAACTGTGGTATTGTCGTTGATCAATCGAAAACTTTGGGGCCCGTATATAGATGACATATCTCCCATTATTAACAGAAACGAGTTGGAAAACGCTTACAAGTTAATCAACATTTTTGACGTCATCACATTCACTACTAAAGAGGAATCAAATAATAAACTTTCATTTTTAGATGTTCTGATTACTAGGACGGACTCAGTAAAATTGGAAACCGAAGTATGCAGCAAGCCAACTCATCAACGACAATAGCAACAACCCAACAGCACACAAAATCAGTTGTAAAGAAACATTGTTCAAAAGAGAGAAGATATACTATAGTACATCAACCTTGCAGAGAGAAGAAGAAAACTATTTGATAACTGTTTCCTAGAAGGACGGGGATCCACTCAATTTCGTCAAAAGATGTTTTCACAATTCGTCATCAATCAAGGAGCCATCTTCGGAGACCGACAAACGGTTTGCCTTACTTCATATGAAGAACATATCTGAGATTATAACTACGCCTCTAAAAACCTTTGAAATTACTGTGGCTTACAAACCGACAAAATCTTTTCACTCTCTGTTATGCAAGCCAAAAGATACAATAGTGAGAGAAGTCAAGCGTTATCGACAAAGTCAGCTGCAGAAACTGAGAAAAACACTACATCGAACAAGGTAGTTATCTTCTTTGTATCCATCTACATGAACACCAAACAGCAGTGAAGCCTCGTGATATCTTCGCTCATATCAATACATATATACAGTTATGGACATGAATTTGACTGGGAAAACATTGAAATCCTGGTTAGAGGAAATACAAAGAAGGCTAGAGAATTCCTAGAAGCTTAGCATTCAGGTCAGTCAATAGACATATTGACACTAACCTAGTCAATCAATCAGTAAGAAACAACTCAGTGGTCATAGTTCATGTTAGCAGAATGGCCAATCGAAATATGTATGGAGATAATGATAATAAGATTTTCGCAGAAACAGCTAATCACATCCATTGCTCATCGGGTCCAGTCATAAAGCTGTTTGTGGATAAAGTCCCATAGTTTACTTCTTTCTGAAGTTTGTGCTGATGATGTTACCTAGGCTGACATTAAAAACGTCCTGATTAAATCGTCTAACTTGCAGATCATAACACCGTCAAAATAGAGTATCACTTATTGAATAACTCTTAAAGTATAATTTATTGACTGTAATTGTATCCTTTCCCCAAAATGAACCTATCACTTCACCTAGTAAGCAGAATGAGTTGAGTGATCAGACCAAAAATGACACCTGTCTGTGAAGTTATTGACTTTGGTTTGAACCGTGTAGCTAATTCATACATTTATTTTAATATCTTTCTAGTTCTGTTGACTAGTTATATTTTGCAAAGTATTAATCACTTGACTTTTCTGTGAGATATCAGGTGATGTTGTATGTTTGCGATTTCAACAAGTAGAGTTTAAATACTTTGAGTTCTACAAGTTTTTTTAAAACGTATTCAACTGTAATGCTTAACTAAACTAGTGCAGTATTCTTAACATTCCGGTCAGCTTTGAAACGATGTGCAAAGGGAGAATGAAACCTCGTGGTCATGCAAAAAAAAAGCGTCATCATGTTAAGAGAGTATTTGACTTCTTAAATCCAAGACTTTTAAATTGGTCAAATGAAGTGATATGACAGATTTTAGGCACTTCATATAGTGTGTTTGTCATGTTTCTGCTTTCATAATTCTGTCATGAACTATCATATGAGATATATTACCTTTCAATAATACCATTAGTGTGGAAATTTTGAATCAACCTCTTGAAATGATGATAATTATTGTTAGATTCTGTGTGTCTTGAATATTTAATATTCGTACAACTAAACAATGTCGCTTTTCAAGTATATGTGGGGAATTTCATTGGAAGTGAACAGTAAAATGTACGCACTTCTTCGAAGAACAACCAGTTCGATCGATACATAAATTAAGTAAATTCGCTGAATAAACCATTAAATACATTCACTTCTTTCTGTCATCCAACAGATTAGAGAATATTTTCGAAATGCTTTCCTTCCATAAGTTTGTTGAACTTCTTAATCTGATTAAGATCTGATCACATTATGAAGTTCAACAAACTTATGGAAGAAAAGCATGCAGTCAACAGTAATGAAATTAACAATAGCTTATCACTAATGATTGGTAAGTCAAAGTAGGTTGTCAATCTCTCAAGTAGAGTCCTAATCTCAACAGAAGTGAAAGTACTATAGAAAGGTCTTAACTTCAATGTAGCGGTTAATTATTTGAAACCAGTAGGATGTCATTCCCAAAATAGAAATTGCAGATGATGTAAGAGCACAGTGTGCTCTAACACTGAAACGACCCAAAAAAATGAAATCTAATTTACCCAAATCAGAGAGGGGAGCTCTCAGGAACCTTCAAAATGATAACAATATAGTAATTGCCACAACGGATAAAGGCAACTCAACAGTTGTAATGAACAAATCTGACTACATTTACAAATATTGTTGAAACTCTTGACGTTAATAAGCAATCACAAGATACATCAGTTTATTAAAGTTACCAAAAGAGAGAATACGTAGAATAACTTGAAATATAACTTCACATCATTGAATTGTAACTTATTTTGATTCTTGTAGAAAGCTACTAGCTGAAATCCATAATACACTGCCTATAAATAAACCTTTGTCTGAGATTGATAATGGTTCACCTGATCTTCTGATATTTCAATTGAGGAATGCGATAAGTCTGGTAAAGGAAGCAAATGATTCCAAAGGAGCTCATTCCAGTGTACTATCCTTCACAGATAATAATAACACTGTCAAGAATACTCGTACATCAATTCACTCACCACTTCTTAGTAAAGCATTGAGCAATGTACTTATTAGCAACTCTGGTCTATCAACTAATAGAAGTAAATCTGTAAGCAGTCAGATAGTGAAACATGATGATATTAATGATAATATTTCTTCTGATAAACGATCAATTGGTTCAATGAAAATCCCAAGTTTATATGAGTAAGTAAAGCTGTATGTTGTAATAATAAAAATATGTGTATGATTTAAAATATGTAAAACAATTACTTCCCTCTATAAACTTTGACAAAACAATAAAAAGAACTAAATTATTTGAAATGTGTAATGTATTTGTGCAACACACTTCAAACAATCTGATTACACATTTACTTATCATAAGTATTTATATAAAAATTCATAAAACGTTAAGGGGTAAGAATATGAAAGGAGATGAAGTAGGAGGGATGAAAATCACTAGAGCAAACAATGATAGTATATCGAACTTGGTTTCAGAGTTGAATTCATCAATGAAAACACAATGGCAGTCTAAACTTCCTAACAGCTAAAGGTTCAAGAAACCCGAGAACCTATGCAAGTAACGGTCTCGAAGCATATTCGAAAGTGGATTTGGAAGCAGGTTAAATCACTTGAACTCATAAACATTGGTAGCAAATATCCAAGTTCTTTGATCGCAAAACATATCGTTAAGACAGGTCACCGAATTGACTTGGCTACCTCCTTTATACCTACTTACAAGCGTGTTCGGGACGGATCCTTAAATTTAATGAAGTTTAAACCACCTTTGTATGTTCAACAGCTGTTTGTTATCACATTAAATCTTCATTGATGAATTCAACTCTGAAACCAAGTTCGATGTACTATCATTGTTTGCTCTATTGATTTTCATCCCTCCTACTTGACCTCTTTTCATATTCTCACCCTTAACGTTTTATGAATTTTCATGTGAATACTTAGGACAATCAGGTGTGCAATCAAATAGTAAACTCATTACACAGTTCAGACAATTTAATTATTGGTAAGTAACTTGCTAGAAGCTGTAGATTTTGATTGATTAGTCACCAATGTATATTGCACAGTTCTTCTTATCACCTTCATGACATTGTTGAACAAACCCACATTGGTATTCTCAGTTAGATCACACATCACTATGTTGTCATAATGGATTGAGAATCGTGCAAAGACTGTTTATGTTTTCAAGTTTCCTATCCATTGATACGAAAGACAAATAAGCATTATAATGATAAGATCGAGAATTAACGTCAGTAACATCATAACTATACCCGTCTCACAAAAGGTGGCTATCGTGACTCGTTGGCCTAATGGATAACGATGTGGTGTCGGAAACGATCGATTTCGGGTTTGGATCTTAATGGGGACAACATTACTCACTGGAAGGCAGGTATATCCAGTTGACGAGTCTTAAACAGGATGAAACGCATGTTCAGGATTCCATTGCTAGCCGCTACTCATCATTAAGATCGATAATACCTAGAAAGATAAGAACAATAGTAAAGAAATACAGATAAGAAAACCATACAAAGTACGAGGAGTTCAAGAATGTGTACAACTGTCAACCACTACTGAGAATCATATCTTCTACAGTTTCACTTGGAATTGTTGTATAACTTCGTTTCAGGTGATAAGAGAATGAAGCGAATTGGAAATGTCACCTTCTAAAATCTAATCTGTTTTTCATACCATCCTTCTTTCTAAATGTTTCACCTTCTACTTTTTTCATATCTATATTTCCCTATTACACTCAATTTTTCATGGTTGTAATTAGTACTTGATAAAATTGAACATCTTACTTATTGTTTTTGAATTACTTCAATTTCATTGTTAGCTTGGAAGACTTAACCTTGTCTATTTTATTATTACTTTTAATTTCCAATTGTTATACTAGATTGGATTCCTCGACCTCTCTTTGTAGGTGAACTCCTATATGGAGGTCTTGATTCTGCCCAGAGACTTATTATATTGTAGTCTATTTGGTAGCTAGCAGTGGGATCCAGGAAGCGCATTTCCTGTTATTTGGGGCCTATCAGCTGGATGAATTACGCTTTGGCGTTGGAAGCGATATGTCCTTAGTTTGAATCCTAATGGGAATAAAACACTCAGTGGGATCTGAGTACATCCAGCTGATAAGTCCCAAATGAGAGGAAATATGCATCCTTGATTCCACTGTTAGCCACCAAGTGAACTTCAATATAGTTTTGTCTAATTTCCAAATGATGGTAAACTGTTGATTGAGAAAGCTGAAGATTGTATTTCCCTGTCCAGAAAAAAAAAACCAATTATATTGATTACTAACAAATTGAAAAGTGTACAAAGACAGATGACGAAATGCTTCATGAATTTTCTCTTCTTTGGAGGTTATTGGATCATCGCAACAGTCTAAAGGTAGACGTGATGGAAACAGGTGATATTTAAGTGAATTGTACCTCAGGCTTACTGAAGTATATATGAAATAATCAAGGCTGAATCCAGGAATTTAACACAAATTCTTGAATTCCATATCAGATTTGTTTATTTGATTTATAACACATAGTGATACATTATTATTTACTTGATGACGAGGTTTGAAGCATAAATTATTAATGCCCATAATCATATCAATATAGTTACATGACTTTCAACATTTGATTTTTATAGTTACGTCACCTCATAATAGTTGTTCATATTGGTAGTAAACTTTTTCATATCTCTAGTAGAGGTGCTGCATCATTTCTGTTACATGTGTTGGGTGTTGATTCGATGAACAAAGGTTCAGACGCCAAGTCGTTATCCGCTATACCACGAAGGAACGAGAGCCACTTCTTGTACAACGGGTAGTAGTTATTACTAGTTATTGACGTGCTTTTTATTCTCAGTTGGTTTGTTGGATGGAATTGGTCAACGTCAGTGGAAGCAACATCACCCACTGGGGTGCAGGCGCATCCAGCTGACGAGTCGCAAATAGGACGAAACGCGCGTCCTGGATTTTTCTGCTAGCCACAACTAACCAAATTATCATTATTAACATTCACGGTTTAATTTAATGCCTAAAACTAATAATCCTAGCAGAATATCCAGCACTAATTAGGTTCATAGACCAGTTGTCCCGTTGGACTCTTGGTTGACTTCAGAAATGCCCCAACGTGTGAACTAGCAAAGTACTTAGCATCCATATTATATCCTATTAGGAACCGTTCAAATCCCAGACTAGTAAACTCTTACGAGTTAAAACTAGGGCTTAATGACCTACATATAGAAGAGGATGAGAAATTGGTTAGTTTCGATGTAGCAAGTCTTTATACTAAAATACAAATTAATATGACACTGGAGGCAGTCAGAAGTCAACTAAATATTGACTCAGAATTTACTCACAGAAGTAAGATATCGATTGATGAGGTCATATTAGGCGTACGGTTGTGCCTGACCTTCATAGTCTTCAAGTTTCAGGACTAAATATACAGACAAACAGAAGAAGTAGCAATGGGATCGCTAATATCCCCAATCGTAGTAGATATATTTATGAATAGTTGGGAAAACACGACTTTACAAACGTTTAGTCCTGCACCCGAGATATAGTGGCGATATGTGGATGACACATTTAATGTATTGAAATTGGAACATTTCGACGATTTTCTAACCTATATAAACTCAGTAGTAGATGCGATCCAATTCATGAGGAGGTAGAAAATGAACAAGGAGAATTGCTAATGTTGGATTGTAGGATAAAACGACTGTGGTTTGGATACTACTGTCTACAGGAAATCGAAACATTTCAACAGGTATCTAGACTTCAAGTCATCCCATCCAATGTCAGTTAAGGCAAGCTTAGTCAAATGTCTAAGTGATAGAGCTAGAAAACTGACTAGTCAGTGCAAGGACCTAAACAAGGAATTGAAAGACATGAAAGAAGCACTAATAGTTAATAATTATTCTGTGCAGTTTATTAAGAAATTCTTACGGACACATAAGAAACCAAAAAATAACAGTAACATGAGTAAGAATAATAACGACAACACAAGTAGAAAGGAGTTGACAGCCTCCATTGTTTAACCCTATGAAAAAGGTACATGGTAAACTTTACCTAGAATCCTTAATAAAACTGGAATTAGGGTGGGATTCCAACCTACAAGTTCACTCAAAGAGAAGCTTCGTCGGTTCGCTTAAGGATCCGATAGAACCAATTAAGTAAAATAATGTAATCTACCAAATTCCATGTAATGACTGTGAGGTCAAGTACATAGGTAAAACTAGCCGGTCGGGGTCAGTTAGAATAACAGAACACGGGAATTTAGCTAAATATAGGCTGACAAACCCGAATAAGATCATCAGTCTAGAAAAACACTCGGCTATTGCAATGCGTGAATTAACGCACAATCACACAATGGGGTGGGATAAAGCCACTGTACTTAGGTCGAATATCATTAGGTGGAGAGAGAGAGAGATTGATTACTGAATCTCTGTTCATTGAATCAACACCCAACACATGTAGTAGTAATGAAATTTGTTTCTAACGTATTCTGTGTATTAATGTTAATTTAATCAGTCTACTTTATTTCTTGTGAAATTGTCACTCATCGATCTAAGAAGTCAGCCATGAACCAGTGAATAGCAGGTTTGAATATCCCTCAACCTACCGAAGTTTGAGCAAGCAGGTAGTATCATTAGCCTTTACACAATAGGTATGATTCACTTCATACTCTATATCATTCTACGTAATTTCATTTCTGATGTATCGCTTTCATGTATACAGATTTCCTTATACATTTTCAATTTTTAGATCTACTACATCACCTAAACACACAAATCAATTAGTACCGGAACCAGCCAGTACTAGAGATCCTAAAAGTGCGAACACTTCTCAAAGCACACGTACCAACCCATTTCAACTGGAACCATCTGTATCTACCGGTTATTCCTCATGTGTTGATCCAGTTGAATCTAGTCTATCAGTAAATAAATCACTAAATCCATTCGATGAACCTTGTATTGATGATAATGAAAATGTCACATCTAATAATAAACCTATACGCTATGAATCCGTTGATACCGGCTTCGATGAATCATTAGTTCATCAACAACAAACTCAGCCTAAGTCTCAATCGCTTAATCCTTTCGATTGGGATTAATATATTGAGGTATAAATGTTGTATTGTTCACTTTTCTACTATCAACTGTAATATTGAGATGTTTAACAACAAAATTATTTATTTTGTCATTGTGATTGTTTATAATAATGATACTTGTTAACATGGATTTCTGGAATACATTTGTCCAACTCAACCATTTACCTTTATCATAGTCATCGATAATTGTGATCATTTGTCATTCTTGTTTTCAATATCTTCAATGTTTGTTTTTTATTTGTTTTAATTTTATTCAGACTCATAATTCAAATTTTATGGTTGTTTGGTTTGTTTTTAATTTTTTCACTACATTAACCATAAATATGATTTTAGTTATCAAACATTCATTATCATCCTTAAGTAACTGTCCTCATGTTCCTGGTGGGGTCGCGGGTGCGCACTGGTGAAGAGTCTCATACTAGGACGAAACAGTTGGCTGTTCAATGCTCTCAGGTTTCCAATGTTCCTCCAACTGATGACAGTCCATGATGAATTCTAACCTAAAATCAGTTCATTATTCGCTCATCTTAATGGTAGTGAAATTTTCCACATATCTGTAATGTGTGGAGATGAATCATTCTTGTTACAAGTGTTACGGATGTGTAGATTCAAAAAACAAAGATTCTGTAATCAGTGTTTCCCCTCAACTAAGCTCCCACGTTAGATTTAAGAGTTGTTAGCCTATCCCACAAACCCCTTTAGTGTAATTATGGACCAGCGCATGCAGAGTAGAGTCTGTCATTGAATGTTTCGCTAAATTTTTGTGTTCTGCGGTTCTAACTGACCACGATCGACTGCTTTGACCACCCTTATACTTGATCTTAGAATTATTACACATAACATTTGATAGATTAGGTTTTTTCGCTTAACCGGCTCTCTTGGATCTTTCGACCTACAGAGATTCCCTCTGAGCTAATTTTTGGTTTTAAATGCTACCCTAATCCGAGCATCGTTGGGAATTTCACGTAAAATTTCCAATTCACCTTCTTTATATGGCAACTCGGTAATAGAACTAAAGTTTATATCGAAGAATTTGTGCTTGGGATATGAAAAAATATATATATATATATACAGAGAGGGGGTAGCGATGGGATCTCCAATATCCCCCGATCGTAGTACACATATTTATGGATACACTTGGGAACGAATGGTATTAGAAACATTTCAACCCACCCGAAAGGTATGATAGCGATATGCAGATGACACATTTACTGTGCTGAAATAAGAACACATCCAAATTTTCTTCGCACACATCAACCCGATAATGGATGCAATCCAATTCACTTATAAATAAGATCGGATTGTAAAGTCTGGCAGGGAGAAGATGGCAGCTTAGATACCAGAATTTATAGGAGACCAACACATTCAAATGGATACTTGGATTTCGCATCATCTCACCTCATATATCTGCTAAAATCAGCTTGATGAAAAATCTAAGTAATTGGGCTAGGAGTTTCACTTGTAAGTTGGAAAGCCTTAATAGGGGAATGAAATACATCACAGAGACACTAATTCTTAATAACTATCCTCCGGAAATTACTGAAGGATTTATTAGCACTGATAAGAAGAAGAAAGAGGTAATGTTATTGATGAATGCAACATGTCGAAGTGGGAATTCAAATCCTCTGTGTAGTATTGCCGCATAAAAAAGGCGCGCCAGAAATTCTTTTCGTAGAATTCTGAGATCAGGGTTGTATTTAAACCCACAAAATGACTCAAAAAGAATCTCTCTGGGCTAATAATAGATCAAGTATAGCCAATAAAACAGAATAACCTGTAGTAGTTCTAATTCTCACTCGCCTCCGTTTGTGATATAGGCAATAGGATTTTCCCGTATATCCGGAAGAGGTGTTGAGTCATTCCTCTTGCTGCATATATTAGCTGTTGATTCGATAAACCAAGACTCAGTTATCAATCTCCCCTTTCAACCCGGCAGGTTAGTTTCAAGGATTTTTCTCCCTGTCCCATCGTATTGTGTATAATCGTTTGCATAACTCTGGTCAACTAATCCTCTAAATCCCTTACCCCACCAAGATCTACCATTGTCGACCCAGTAAGGGTTTTGTGCTCGAATAGCCTAAATGACCTAACGCCGAACGACTACTTTAACCTATGTATTTGACCTCATCATCATTGCAAGGGATTCGGTGAACTAAATTACTTCACTTGGTTTCATCTAAAGTATATCTTAGCCCAACATACATGTTTGTGAGTTATTTGGTTTAAGTGTCACTGTAATATCAGCCTAAGCGAGTATTCTTTGTAACGCTTCCGAGGTGCCTTTCTTGTATGGTAACACAGTAGAAATCCTAACTGTTCGTGTGAGTGGTTTAAGGAATCGTAGACTGCATGTCTAGGATCACTCAGAGGATTTATTTTCAATGGTGAAATCAAGTAAGATGACTCCACAACTTTGTTCTAATTCTCTCACCGCCTTTGTGGTGTAGGTAGTAGTAGGGATTTCCTCTACATCCGTACCGTACCGGCGCTGAGTCATTCCTGTTCCTGGATTTAATTTGTGTTGATTGGATAAACAAAGAATCGGTTATCCATCTCTTCCTCCCTCTACCCAACTAAGGTAGTTTCGAATATTGATACTGTGTCCAATCCTGCTGTGTGTAATTGCATGCATGGCGATAGCCCAGCTCCTTTCAAAATTGCTTATTCTATCAGGATCCACTAATGTCGATCTACCTGGGTTTTTGTGTTCCAATAGTCTAGTTTAACTGAACCCTGGTTAACCACTTTGACCTATCTATTTGACCTCGAAATCGTTGCAAGGCATTGCAATAGGATCTCTCAGTCTAAAAACCCTGCTTCGAGGCGAGTTTGTACGTTCAAACGCCTCTCTGTTCACAGCCAGGCTTATTGAGAATCTTACCTTATGTCTCTGAGGTGGTGTTTTCTTCGTATGGTCATACTGTAGAGGTGTTGAATTCTGTCTCAACCCTGTCACCAAAATTACTACCATTATTGCTATTTTTATTGGAAGGATTTTTAACATAGGAGATTTGGTAATATTCGGCAGTTCGAGAATTATTCACACATTCCTAACAACTGCACGAAATGATGCACATTTATAAATAGGTGAGCACACATACAATGTGCGACCACTCTAAATCTGTTGCTCAGTATAACTAACGTGATACTTCCCACCAATGAGTGTCAGTACTGCTGAATGAACTATAAATTGATTGAATGACCGTGTTCCGTTTGTCAGGCTGTTGTCATACATTAAATTTGTGATTTATCAGTTCACAATGAGTGCAGACCAAGAGTATCCACTTGTATTGCCATGTTAATTCAAGCCTAATTGGTTGTTGATGAGTAAGGAATGTTATTACAATCTTAGATGTTGAAGAACTAATGGTGCTTCAAGAGTTTAAGCGTAAACTGTGGTGGAATATGATTCCATTCCGTTTCAGTTTATTTGTTTGCAGTATCTATTACATAGTGAAGGGACAGTGTTATGTACTGGATTCTGTGCGTGTCCGATACAATTAATTGTCTATACTCACAGCAACGTAGACCCCACAACGTTGAGACATGGTTTATATATAGTTCTAATACTTTCGCCTTGTTTGTGATGATGGTAGTAGAATTTTCTATATATCCGAGTAATTCCTGTTGCATTTATTAGATGTTGATTCGATGAACAAGGACACCTTACTCATCAACAATTACCCTCCTGAATTAGTTGATAAGTTCCTTAGGAACTGTAAGAAAACTATAACTAATATTGGTAACACAGGTGTTTTTAGTAGTAATACTCATGTTAATAATGATAGTTGCAATACCGTGAAGAGAGAATTTTAAACCTCTACAGAATTGCCATGCAAAGAAGGCACCACGTCAGAAGCCTTATGTAAGATTCTCAATAAACCTGGCTGAGAAGTGCGTAGCATTTAAACCTACAAACTCACTTCAGAATGAGCTTTGTGGGTCACCAAGATCCTTTGGATGCAAATAGGTAGAATGGTTAAGTTTACCAATCCCCTTGCAACGACTGCGAGGTCAAATAGGTAAGTCAAAGTTGTCGACCATAACAACCTAGCCAGTTGAAAATTAGGTGATCTTACCTAGTAAGATAAGGAATTTAGAAACGTCGGCCATAAGTATGGCCGCGATTACACTCAACAGGATAGGAGAGAGTAATAATTCTTAGAACCAACATATCAGGGTGGAGAGAGAAATTGGTAACCGAATCTTTGCTTATCGAATCAACACCTAATGGATGCAGCAACTGGAGTGACTCAGTATCTGCTATGGATATGTGGTAAATCTTACTGTCCATACCACAAAGGCGGTGAGAGAGAATTACGACAGTATAAACTATGTCTGAATGTTGTGGAGTTATCTTCCTTGATTTCACAATGCACAATAAATTGTGTCTGGGGCGTATTCCTGTAAATAATACCGTTCCACTGTGGAATGGAATTACAGCCTACCACAGTCGGTAAGTTTTACCCTTATACATAACATCGTCTATGGAGATAAGTAAGTAAGTTGAAATAACCATATGTCGTATGTGTTATCTAGTGGGAAACTCTATCAATGTGTTCTAGCTAAAAGGTAGACAATATCCTTCAGGCTTCAACTCATCACTTCGAAATTATCGACTGACCTCCTGTCATTATTCTTCCTCTATATCATATCTTTCTTTTTATTGTCAATTTGAAATGCCATTGTGTTCGCTTTGAATACCGTTCATCTTAATAATTTGCTTGAAATTGGTAGTAGTGAAGTCCAGGATGCCCGCGTTTCGTTCTATCTAAGATTCACCAACCGGATATGCTTGAATCCCAGCACTTGAAGATATTCCTATCTACTGAGACTTGAAACCAGGCGTCTATAGCTGCGGACGCCGAAGCATTATGCAATAGACTAGGGAAGATAACAATAGCCACCTCTGTTTCAGTGTGTTGATTGGATGAATAATTTGCAAATTCCATATTAGATTTGTTTATTTGATATATAGAGCACAGTGATACAGTATCAAATAAACAAATCTAATATGGAATTACATTCTACCACAGTGCCCAAGTTTTACACTTATATTAATTTGCAAATTGCACGATCCACGTTGACATTTCAGCTGTGGTGCTACTCAACAGGATTCCCACTGTAAACCAGCCCATTGGATTCCGCCCAGCCAGTGGCTAGCTCAATGGTGACCTGCTGGCCATGGAACCTGAAGACTCTGGGTTCGGTCCCTGGTAGAGCTGGGTCGTGGATGTGCAATGCTGAGGAGTCCCATACCAGGACGAAACAGTTGGCTGTCCAGTGCTTCCGAGTTTTCAATGTTCTTCTGACTGATGTCAGTCAATGATGAATTCCAACCTGAAACTAAAAAAGGTAATCAAAGTCAAATCATTTTCCAAACTAACACTTCAAAGTCTCTTTGATATTGAAAATAATTGCCATAACTGACTGTTACTCATCGAAACGCTGAAAGATAGACAAACAAAGTCAACGCAGAACCTCGCATACTGGTAAAACGGTTCAAGTGGCCACACACTTCACAGTAAGACAGAAAGAACAAATGGATAGAAAAAGAGTGATATCAAAGTAGACGGAACAAACAATATTCAAGCCAGATAGTCCACATCTTCCTACACAGCTCAGACCAAAAGTCAGTGACTTCTTACATTGGAACCACATCTTTTTCTGGCCACCCTAAACCCTCTCCCAACCTAATCGAGTTTCCACTTGACATGAGACGTTGAGGTAGGCAGTGACTCGACATGTTTTATTGTTAACGGCTCCTCTATTATTTGTATTTCTATCAGTGGTTCTTATAATGCATGCTGATAACCGCAAAATAATCTGAGTATTTTGAAGACAGTCAGAGGAATTTTCTAATGCATCACTCTCAATTAAAAATGCGCAAACTAATTCCATTGATTGGTGAGTTGAAGGACGTGAATACTCTAGCTGACTGTAATTCTGTTCAATAGATTTCTCAGTAGTTGAATGGAAAGTTGACACTGAAAATTGGATTGATGGAGTGATCAAGTGTACATGACGAATACTCTTATGATTTCCTTCCATGCGAGCCCAAATTGATGACTGGTTCACAAGCTTCTGTCAGTTGTTGCATTCAGACTGAATCTCAATTTCAATCAGGCAACAAACTATTCGCATTATCACTGTGGGCTATGGGTACCAGTGCAATGGTTTCAGTCGGTGTAAGGAGTGGAGATATCTGACAAGTGAAACTGAGAATCACAAGCCATTGTCAGAAGGGATTTATATTAAATTTGACACGTGGTTAAATCATTGTTAGGACGACGAAGTCACACCCATGGCGATTATAATTAATATCGTTTGATCTCTGCAACACACAAACTTGAAACGTACACACAATGTTAACTCTTGTGGCATTCCTAGTGTGCCACCAATCAGAAATGGGGATAAAACTCATGTTGGAACAAAGTGAATTCTACCCGATGGTGATTGACTGGCCATCTTGAATTTCTGTGTGAATATGTACGGATTTGATGAATTATGAGGTACCCCTGTAGCAAAGTCAGACAGTCGAGAAAAATACGGAGACTTCAGAAGTCTTGCGACACTCAACACCTCCATCATTCTTGTTGCCACAATGTGCTGGAAATGAATGATTGGGACGATGAGATAACTAATGTTCAACCGATAATGAGAAAATCGTGTAAACACCCGAATTCAATTACATCACTCGCTTCGATGATGTGCTCAACACTGTTTCACTTGTCATCTCTCAGTTTGCATTACTGATGCGTATTCAAATATAATGCACGTCTCCTAAGATAGAATGCATAGTGGCGGCCAAAGTTTATTTTCTGACAACGAACAAGATCATTATCGTTCTCGCGGATATACGAATTACCTTCATCTTCCAAACTAAGAAAGCACACACACACGTCTCGAAACTGTACTTACTGTTGTGTGAATACAATTCAACGGAATGTACTTATGGCTGATGACAAATTGAAATAATTTAGAAGACGTTACTTATTTGAAATTGTTTACTGGAGGACAGGGAAGGAGATTGTCGAAAGTAAAAACGTAAAAATCTGTCGTCGTCAGCATCATTGAGTACAAATTCATGTGTTGTTGAATTTCAACATATGATGAACATTGTTGCAACAGTCACAGTTGTGAAGGTGACGAAAACGATGACAATCAGAAGAGTTGGATCAACATGACAATCCCTGAAATTGTACTGACAGATGCTACGAAAGTGAGATGAAAATAAAAACAAAATATTAACAGGAATATCGAGGACTTTCAATAGTTCACATAAACGTCTCCCTGAAAAAATGCAACGTGCCGAATGATGCAGGTAATGTTTCGAGGAATTGTTGTCGTCAGCACACATTGTAAATCAACGTCGCTTTTAGAATGACAGGCAGATTCATATGTATGACATGTCAGTCGTCGTCAGTCCTCCCCTATTCAAAGACATCACAGCTCAAGTAATTGAAGGATATAAGAAATAGAGATATGAGTGTGGTGAGTGGGTGCTGTTTGCTTGCAATTGATGGCCAGTATGAAACAGCGTTGAAGAGTGAATCACAAATTATCAGAGATAACTTACCCAGTGAGACAAATGCCGTAGCATCAGTGCTATGAGATGTGACTGTCGAATGAACCGGTGTAGTGTGTACAATTTCCGTCATCTGAGTGTTCACTGTGTTCAGTGTATCTTCGTTTGCAGACGATACTGCACCGCATAATTTCCATCTTGGATCATTCAACTTCATGTTTCCTACTTCACATTGTTTTTTAAGAGCTTGACGGGCATCGCCTGCATTATGAAAAGATTCATATATTGAAAATTATTATTGATGAAAATGGAAAATTGCCAGTCTACCTTGTCACCACACATTTGAAATAATCGGATTCAGCTACGATTACGTTCCACTGTATGCGATTACATTTAAGAATATTTCTATGCTAACACATTTTGCAACCTCGCCTGGCTAACTAGTTCACTAGTTACTAGCCGGTCCTAAGCCCAGATAAAGAGGGAAGGTTGAGCACACGGCCAGCAACCCTACCCCGGAAAACCAATCCAATCCCTAAAGAAACTTCCAAGCACAAAGAAATTATAAAACATAAAATTAAACTTATTCCTCGCTGGAATCGGAGAGGCGAAATGATGCCGGTTGATGAAAGCCTTCGGGAAGCCAATCGCCTGATGTGTCTTCTCACTCTGGATGTAGAAAAAGTGAACATGGGGGCATGGAATGTCCGCACCATGTATGAACTAAGCAAGGCTGCTCAGATTGCAAACGAGATGAGGAGGTATGGCATGGAAGCGCTTGGAATCTGCGAAAGCAGATGGAATGGAAGTGAACTCCCCAAACTGTCAGCTGGAGAGAAGTCAATAATCTACTCCGATATTTTCACCCAGACGACAAACACGAGCACACGGAGGAAGTGGCCATCATGATTTCCCCAAGAACATCGAAGGCTCCCATGCAGAGGGAACTAGCCTCCTCCAAGATCATGACACCAAGATTCAATTCAAAAGGAAAGAAAGTCACAACGGCAAAACTACTAGTGAACACAAATCCTTCAACAAAAGTCGAAGTCCTGGGCATCATAAAGATACTGAAATTGTGGGAAAGCAGCAGGACCAGATGGAATCCCGCCAGAAACACTGAAAATAGACGCAGAAACAATAGCGGACATGCTCACACCACTATTGCAGAAGGTCTGGAAGGAAGGGAAGGTACCTGCCCACTGGTTGGAGGAAAAACTACCTTGTCAAACTCCCAATGAAGTGCGACCTAAGTCTTTGCAAGAACTGGCGCGGAATCATGCTCCTGTCCACCCCAAGCAAAATATTAAGCCACATCATCCTCGAGAGACTAAAGGATGCTCTTGATTCAGAATTACGACCGGAACAGGCTGGGTGGCTGGCTTCGGGAAGAAAAAATCATGTGCGAATCAAATTGCAGCAACACGCATCATCATAGAACAGAGCGTAGAATGCCAGTCAACTCTCTACGTCACCTCAACTTCATCGACTTTGAAAAGGCCTTTGACAGCGTCGACCCACAAGTAATTTGGCAGTTGCTTCAACACTACGGAATACCACAAACCTTTATCGACCTCATTCAACAACAGCTATATGAAGACGCCACATGCCAAGTAATTCACAATGGGAAGCTCAGTGATGCCTTCGAAGTGAAGACAGGAGTAAGACAAGGCTGTCTACTATCACCCATGATCTTCCTGATTGCGGTCAACTGGACAGGACTATGCAACAGACAACTGTGAGGAGCGAGAAGATGGGCATACGATGAAAAGAACCTAGAAGATTTGGGTTTTGCCGACGACGATTTATGTTTAATAGCATATCGCACAAACTCGAAGATCTACAGGCGAAAACTAGCAAGTTGACAGAAGAGGCAGCGAAGACGGGACTTCAAGTGAACGTAGAGAAGACGGAGGTCATGAAGATACCCAACCAATAACAGCATCAAAAACAAGCACTAATCACCGTCAACGGGAGAAATACAAAGGAAGTTGTCTCTTTCACCTACCTACCTAGGCACCATCGTTTCAACTACAGGCGGTGGCGGCGGCACAGATGAAGACGTCAAGTCCAGGGCCAGAAAGGCAAGACAGGCCTTCATTAATCTGAAATCAGTGTGGAGATCGACTGCACTCAGCATAAAGCGCGAACAACATCTGGATTCTCAACACCAATGTCAAGTCAGTGCTTCTATATGGTTCAGAAACTTGGAGCGTCACGAAAAGCATTTGCAACAAACTACAGACATTCATCAACGGCTGCCTACGCTCACTTGATACTGAAGATCAGATGGCCAGAATAATAAGAATAAGCAACAAGGAACTCTGGCTGGTTGGCAACGAACCAACCAAGAACCCATCTCCCAACAAATATGCAGAAGGTGGAGATGGATTGAGCATGCACTGAGAAGGCCGACTGGGGACATCATGTGCCAGGCTCTCGAGTGAAACCCAGAGGGGGGACGATGAACTGGGCGTCCGAGGGTGACATGGAGGAGATCATGCGAGAAAGAAGTGATAGCTTCTGGGCAGTCGTAGAGCCGGATTTTGAAGACTGTGAGAACAGAGTGGAATGGAGGCGTGCTACTGAAGCCCTACATTCCACCAGGAACTCAAGGGAAAAATAATAATTATAATAACACATTTTGTGCTCCCTTTGCTAATTTCTAAGTTTTCTCATTAATGCACTTTCTTCTTTTCCATGTTCCTGCTTTCACTCTTGTTTGTTTGCAATCTAATAAATATTTTTCAATTTCTCTATTTTCAATCATTTACCTATGTTTATGTTCATCGTTATTATCACATACATGAACCAATTATATTCAGATTAATATAGATTTACTTACATAGGACAAAGTAGTGGCTAAGTTGAATGTTCTTTAACCTCATAGTTTCATGTATCTTTTGTTCGATTGCTGTTCCAAAACCCGGATATTCTGAGATTGGATATTCCAAGTAGATTCCTGCTACAAGGAATGAACCATATTCCCCCAGGTGAATCAAGAAACAATCTGTTTCATTCTTGATGGATGAATTGACAAGCTGGCTAGCCTCCTTTACCTGACCAACGTTGAATATCAGAATGAAAATACACGAAATTAGAGCAAATCTTAATATTCGTCATGTGTGCAGACTTTTCTCACCTGCAATATGGTCGCATACGAGAATTCACACATAGTGGAAGCGAACAACATCTGCACATCTGCTCATAGGAACTGGCCTGCCCAAATACATTGACTGCTGACTAAGATGGTGAATGTTACCTTCATTTATCACCTTCAGTATGCAACATGTAGCACAACAATACGTACTCATGACTTCATTCCACACCTCCGTTTAGTAGAGCATGGATCACGTTTCACTATGGTAAAACACTTATTCCTGGCTGCTACTATAACCATTCCAACAACACCTGCATATCTTATTTTAAATGCTGTTTCACTGCCCACTTCCACTCCTCAAGCTGGTGTTTGGAATTCTTATATCCCTCTCTGTATACATGAATTGTTGTTCTCGATTTTTCACGCAGATGTAAAACACTTTACAGATCACGTGTCATACAGTGATATTCTTAATAAAGAGCGATCTAGTTAAGATGCCTGAGCACTAATTGGATATGTGATCTTACTCATATGTAGGCTATTCTCCCCATGCAAAGGGAATGCATATTACTGTGGATTATTATCATTAATGTTATCAGCAACATTATTGCATCACCTATCCTGTGGTCTCTTAAATTGACTCGACACTCGCGGCATCACTTATATATGGTCTTATGCCTTCGAATAATTCATTTTTGAAGGTCACGATGCAGTCGCTAACGTATCTACCTTCTAAATATGTGTACATATGTATGAACATGAAAATAATTGCAGAGGTTCTAGTGTCCAGAATACGCTTGTGTAATACTTTAGGGAGTGATGCACTTACCGCGTCGCAAAGGGTCGCAGTTAGTTCTTTGTATGCACTAGAATTAAGATTGTCAAATTCAGAATTCCAGGAGATACGTGTGCGTGTGACTGTGTCGACCAGATACCCATTAATTCCGAGTATAGGCACTTCATTGAAAGATATAAGGAATAGAATTAGGAATAGGTTCCACCGAAACCACGATGAAAAATTTTGTGATTACAAGATATGCCTATGAAAAGGCTTTGAACAGTTGCACACAAATTAAATCAGTGTGCGACGTGTGCAGACCTTATCGTATAACGGAACGTCATCTATTGAAGTAATCAAGTCAATCAGCAGGACGTATGTTGAAAGAATATTGACCTTGCACTGACACATTTAGAAAAGGTGAGATGCATATCACATAACTTATTGTTCAGTATCCAAGAATTTCAAGTCTCAATTTAACGATTTGATACTACTATTCAAATTCGGGTGAACACTGGTTCATCTACCAAACGATGGTGTTGAGCAGAGATGCCTTAATACTTCTAATCCAAATGACCGTAGAAACTGCTTGATAGTAATAATACGGAAAACCATATGAGATACGACGTGATAAGTTCGCATCTACAAGATGATGAAATCTTCCTCTGTACAAGTATCGATGGAAGTATGAGGAAAAGAAAACACTCCGGAGGGTGAAGTGTTGCAAACCGTCTCCTCTTTTCTCCATTCAACTACTTCCCATTAGCTTTAAGGTATCAACCTGATTTTCGTGACCAGCTTGGTTGACCAAGCGTGTATGCAGAAAACAAGCTACATTTACACACACTGATTATCAGAGGTTGTAGTCACCGCTTAGACAGAAATCAGACATTCTCAGACTCGAAGCTGTCAGTGTTTTCATCGGTCAAGCTGTTCAGTCCGACAGGAAATATCATGTCAGATTCATAGACTGATTGAGCGTTTGCCTCAAACTAAAGCGATACTTCGGACTTGAATGCTGAAATCGTTCGAACATGAATGTTGGCTGGGTGCTGAAATGGTTAAACGATCTACATCTGTAAATACTGTGCCATTGTCTGGTCTTATCCAAACATGAAACAAGCCTCCGTTGTCAGTTAGGAATTCGGATCAATGAAATATCACCAGCAAACGATCCATATCAATGCCATGTTGTCTGTTGACACGATCACATATATTGTGGGTCATCTTTGAAACATTTCTTGACAAATATACAGTTCACGTAGTCTTCCTAAATCACACATCTTCCACAATCCAATATTGCGCAGTGTCATGTGTGATACACGCACAGGTGTGTTGTGTTGTTTCAGAATTTCACTTCGGATTTAACAGTATAAGTAAACATTTGGTTGTTTCCATTCATATCCAATGATAAGAAAGTTTTCACTAATGTGATTCTACACCAACAATTGTACACATCGATGCATATGTAGTCATAGCAAGCCCTGACTTTGTTTTCCCTAGTAGAAATGTATAATGAGCTGCCATCATTATGATATGTTGATCATGGAGAGAAAGTTGACCAGGTTATTTACGATATCTTATACCTAGTGATACCAATCAGCATGCGATTCATGCAATATTTTTCGCAAACCCACGAACACAAATGCAGACGGCTAGCTGAGTAAATGCAAGGAGCTCACGTCGACACTTGCTAGACCCGATGATAGAAGGATGAACAAGTTCTGCCTCATCACTACGAAAGCTAATTACAGTTGTGACAAGTATTTTCCTTTATCGTAATATGGTTGAATTCAGTGAGAGTCAACCTCCACAAATAAATATTTTGGAAACTGAGTCCTGATTGCCTCGGTGAATGATATCTCTGGTTAAGCAATACAAATGATGGTGTGATATTTCTAGTTTGCTTCTTTCAAATTACAATTTTATACATCAGTCGTCTTAGGTATTTCCCTCGCCTGGATCACGGCAGGAGCAAAAGTAACATCATTCAACATCTGCTTTATTTTGCTGGCTTCAGTCTATCCATTGTGACTAAGTCTAATAATGCAAGGATGAATTTGCAGACGGAAACATGTATAAAATAGACTGACTTGCACGACAAAATGGAATACCATGTGCATGTAATTTCCATCTCCATAATCTCTGTTTGCTTTGAGTACTGTGAATTTGGTTGGTATTCCACTCACCTGAAGGTAGTGTCTCCTCGTTGCATATTACCTTCTGGCCCACAATTCGCACCATTTTAACCAGCCACAATAACAGCAATGACATTTTCATTGTTCCTTTTCGATGGTGATGCTGAAGGTGAAGTGAAAATTTTCGTGTGAGTAGTCCACAATCCGTTATTAAGAAGCAAAATCAATGCGCTCAAATTTCTATGTTATTCGGTAAGAGATGAGGATGAGAACTGACTGATGGAACGCGAAGTTGTGGAACTTATCTATGAGGGTGTGGGAATGTTGAAGAGTGGGTCAGTGAACAAGGTCAGATTTGTGTTTCATCAGTGAATGTCATGTGAGAGTTTCAAGGTGTGGAGACTGCATAAAATTGTGTATAAACCACTTCAACTATAAGCAATACTTCCTTTTAGTGGTTTCTTTTACACATTCTGTACATTCTTCCTAATACTTGTAAAAACGAATGTTGTTTATATATATACCTTCTCGCTTGTGGCGGTAATTGCGTCTTTTGCTGCTGCTAATCGTGGAAATATAATGTGCTTCTAACTATTCAGGCTTCTGCCTCTATTACTACTGCCTTTCGTACACATTAACTGATTGTCTTGGAACTTTACAGGACTGTGGCGTCACACTTCCACAAAATCAATAGCCTAGGGTTTGACGACTCTCGACATTGATGCTGACCTTGATAGTTTAACTGGACTCGCTAAGCCGAAGGCACCCAGTCAAGCATCCTCGCCATTTGGCACGCTGTCGTGTTACGTTGCACTGCTCGTATTCGACTCTCCAGCCAGTTAGTTGGAAGGCATCGGTATCTTGGCACAACCATTCAAATATACTATTCCATCCGACTACGCTATTGTGTCCTTCCTTGGTCTCGTATTCGTGGGTATATAACAAGTCCGAATAATTAGTGATTGGTCTTTGCGTCTGTCAATTTCGCACCAGGACAAATCCCAAATTACCTCTCATCTTACTTCCAAATATTACGACAATCAAGCTGATTAACGACCACTACGGAGACCCAACAAATCTGGCCTTCTGATCTCTGGAGTATCCTAAAATTGTGGTGGACAATACCGAAGAGATAACCTTCAAGTAACCAGTGATTATCTATAACATTGGCAATACTATTTGTGCTATAGCGTGTAACTTTTCACGCACGTGTATCATAAAATCCACTTTTCTTGTAAATTATATGTAGTTTGTCATTTTGGTTTACTTGACATTCTTTGGGTCCACTACAAAGGTGATAGATAGCGGCAACTCGCAGTCCACAAGTTCCTCTATCTGCGAAAGAGTTACATTTAAGTGAAGTAGTTATTATGGATGAAATAATGGTAGTAGAATGTAGATGACTGGCAGCAAGTGGAAACAATGAAGGTGACTAACCGTGTCTTCCACACACCCTGATCAAGCTTCAAATAGTGGTTCAGCGCTTTCCCGACTGCATTCCATAGTACTGTGCAGAGTCGCCAGCATCAATATCTATGATGTAAAACCAAATGATTTGAGTGAAGTGCCGATTCAGATCCTATGCAAAATTACTTGACCTGAAATTCCCTACTTCCACTGAGCATAATGGAACATGAAGTGTTCATTTTTCCCTAAGACGTAACTTATGGAGTATTCTACGACAGCATCATGCATGACTTGCATGTACTCATGGTGTTCTCAGTCTCACTCACACATTCCACGAATCGAAACAATTACGACGACTGTGGAACCATCTGTGATTCGAAATGACACTGTGTGAACGTTATGAAATGTTGGGGCGTATTTGTGACAAGCGTCTAGCAACTATGGTAGGCGAACACGCATTTCAGCCGTTCTCACGTTTCATGTATGTCACCGTCACATGGTGTTGACGCCTCAGTTTTGAAAAGATGAACACCGTGAGCACTACATGTTGAGAAGTCCGTAAAAGACTTAGCTCATTTTATCGTTGTTGATCCAAACTGTTGATGACAAACTTGTTGAATGTGATTATTCCAGTAGACAAGATATTGTTAGCATCCTTTACCTTTGATTTGGAAACATTATTTCGCTAGATGGAATTCTATGCGATGGAATAGGTGTTTATAGTAGAGGAAAGTGAGAAGGAAGAGGCATACTACTGAACCAAGAAGTGATATTTCCCACTACTGATGAGAACACTGGTAATGCACATAAGTCATATGGACTGTAACAGTGTTCTTTTCAGAATGTACCACAAATGAAACGATTCACCTAATCAACATACACACGCAAATATGTTCAGTTAGAAACACAAATACTGAATACATATCATTTTGTCTCAGTGCAAATGAAACAGGATAATTCAGTTTACAGAAGATAATGCAATACTCACCTGAAATAAACAGAGTTCACCGTGGAAAGGTATTCACCTTGTTTAACGTAGCGACAGTCCATCTACCTATATACACATCATTACATACATTGTTAAGTTGACAACCAATAGGATCATCTACATAACCTGTTTCTACAAACTTTAAACAAAGTGTTCCATTCAGGTGAATGAGTAGGTGGATACAACTCAGACTTATAATGGTGTGCTCAGTTAGCTGAAATTGATCAGATGAAATTTTTTCACATTTTCTCCGCTAATGAGCATAGTGATTTTAATTATTCTAGGGTAATCAGAATGACAAAAATATCATTAAACTGTACGTTCTGAAGTATTCCAGCAACACACTGCCAGCTCTTCATTCACTCTCATCGATTATTAAACGTTTCATCAAACGTGAATTCAATACGCCCACCTTCAATTTTCAAATCGTAGTAACTAATTTGACAGACAGTAAGTATTTGGCACATGTGACCTGATATCCACTTATCCCAGCGTCTGCATATTAGCTTTGAAATAAGAGAAACAAAATCATCATCCTTTGCACTTCGGTAGAGATTTATGTATAACTGATTGACGAGACTCTCACACCTATTGGTATTTATTTAGTGGGGACTTGAGGAGTGAGTCAATCGAGTGTGCTGTCCTGCAGTTCTCTGTGTTCTCCCATGTGCTTCTGAAACACGACCATTCCAGGTAGACGACATGAGAAGGTCTTAGGTACCTGACAACCATCACCTACTTAGAATAGACCATGTCTTCTCTACGTTCACTTGAAGTCCCGTCTTCGCTGCCTCTTCTGTCAACTTGTTAGTTTTCGCCTGTAGATCTTCGAGTTTGTGCGATATGCTATTAAACATAAATCGTCGTCGGCAAAACCCAAATCTTCTAGGTTCTTTTCATCGTATGCCCATCTTCTCGCTCCTCACAGTTGTCTGTTGCATAGTCCTGTCCAGTTGACCGCAATCAGGAAGATCATGGGTGATAGTAGACAGCCTTGTCTTACTCCTGTCTTCACTTCGAAGGCATCACTGAGCTTCCCATTGTGAATTACTTGGCATGTGGCGTCTTCATATAGCTGTTGTTGAATGAGGTCGATAAAGGTTTGTGGTATTCCGTAGTGTTGAAGCAACTGCCAAATTACTTGTGGGTCGACGCTGTCAAAGGCCTTTTCAAAGTCGATGAAGTTGAGGTGACGTAGAGAGTTGACTGGCATTCTACGCTCTGTTCTATGATGATGCGTGTAGTTGCAATTTGATTCGCACATGATTTTTTCTTCCCGAAGCCAGCCACCCAGCCTGTTCCGGTCGTAATTCTGAATCAAGAGCGTCTGTAGCGTCACACTTCCACAAAATCAATAGCCTAGGGTTTGACGACTCTCGACATTGATGCTGACCTTGATAGTTTAACTGGACTCGCTAAGCCGAAGGCACCCAGTCAAGCATCCTCGCCATTTGGCACGCTGTCGTGTTACGTTGCACTGCTCGTATTCGACTCTCCAGCCAGTTAGTTGGAAGGCATCGGTATCTTGGCACAACCATTCAAATATACTATTCCATCCGACTACGCTATTGTGTCCTTCCTTGGTCTCGTATTCGTGGGTATATAACAAGTCCGAATAATTAGTGATTGGTCTTTGCGTCTGTCAATTCCGCACCAGGACAAATCCTTAATTGGTGAGCCCGACGTGATCGAGTAAACTAACGTGATCACATATCCCGACTAATAACGGATATTGAATTAGTGAGCCTGTTCCATTTTATATTTGTATATAGCTTTCATTTCGATAACATCCATTCATCCATTTACTGCCTTTTCTCATATCCGACCACTTTCTCAAGCTTATTCGTATTAAGCCGACTACGAACACGATCCAACTCGTGCCATATTGGCCAGCCAGTGCAGAAACATGGTTCCTGTATGCCGAGGCAGATTTTCGAGAACAGGGTGTCTCAGATCCTCATTCTCGATTTCTTGCTGTCATACGGTCACTACCGCGAGAACTAAATCCGCACGTTACAGCACACATGTTTGGTCCCGAGGTAAGTGATCCTTATTCACTTCTCAATGCCGCACTCTTGAAGAGAAGCGACCTGACAGACCGCCAGTGCCTAGACGAATTGCTTCGTAACATCGAGCTAGGCAGCCACTCAACTACTGAAATCCTTGCACGTATGCTAGAAGTAATCGGCGAACGAATATTTGACGATGGCCTTTTCCGAGAACTATTTCTCTCAAAACTACCACAACCGGTGCAAACCTTGCTGGTGACACTGCAGTCAGTCCCACTCAATAACCTGGCAGCTTCGGCAGATAAAATACTGGAGATCTCTAGCAGACCTGTCTCCAACGTATATTCTGTCTGCGACAAAACAGAGAGCCAGGATTCAGAGGTGACCAAGCTGTGCAACTCTGTGAAACAGTTGCTACGATCTCAAAGTACTAGTTCATGTAGAACTCCACGGAAACGCGTCTTAGAGCATCGCAGTAAATCACTTGGTAGCCCCAAAAGTAAACCTAACAGGGTGGAAAACCCTGAATGGTGCTGGTTTCATAATACTTGCGGAGATGAAGCCAGAAAATGTCGGAAACCATGAAGTTTTAACAAGGACACAAACTCGGGAAACAGTCACGCCGGCACTTGTCCACGGCAACCGTAGCCGGCGGAAACAGTCGTTTGCTCTGCGTCACGGATATTCAAACGAAAGTCCGCTACCTCGTCGACACCGGCGCAGAAGTTAGCATTCTTCCCGCACCGACAAAGGAGCGTCATCATGACCCATTTTTCAATCTTCAAGCAGCCAACGGCAAGGCAATCTTAATATTCGGGAGACGGTATGCCTGCCTCAACTTAGATTGGCGTAAACCTATCCACTGGATTATTCTGCTGGCTGGCGTCTCTATGCCCATCACTGGCATAAATTTGCTAAACCATCACGATCTACTCGTAGATGCTCGCCATCGACGTCTGACATGCAACAACTCAAAGTTATCTGTTGGCGGCACCACCTGTGTAGGTCCGAGTTTAGCCATCGTTAGAACTGAACAATCAGGCGACACGTCCTACCAAGCAGTTTTGGAGAAATACCAGAGCTACGACAACCGAAGCACATTCTTCCGTGCATAACCAGCAATGTTATGCATCACACGACAACTACAGATCCACCTATGGTATCCTGAGCTCGGCATCTAGCCCCTGATAAGCTAAAACGATGAGGGGTGAATTCGACCACATGTTCGAATTGGGCATTGTCAAACCGTCAAACAGCACTTGGGCACCACCATTGCATATTGTTCCCAAAAAGGATGGCAACGACTGGCGTCCAGCCGGTGACTACCGAAGGCTTAAGGCCAAAATAACTCTGGACTGCTACCCGATACCTCACCTTTACGATTTGACTGCAACCTCATGCGGAATGAGCATTTTCTCCGAAATCGATTTGGTCAAAGCGTACAAACAGATACCTGTGGCAGCAGAAGATATCGCGAAAACAGCCATTATTACTCCTTTTGGCCTGTTTGAATTCCTGCGCATGCCATTTAGTCTTCGGAATGCAGCACAAACATTCCAACGCTTTATGGATGATGTCTTCCGTGGTTTGAATTTTGTTCATGTCTACATCGATGACTGTCTAATTGCGAGTCCAGATAAGGAAACTCACCTCAAACATTTGGACCTCGCATTCGAAAGACTTAAAAAACATGGCATCACAGTCAACTTACAGAAGTGTGAAATAGGAGTTGAATCACTCAGCTTCCTTGGGCATACCATTGACAACAAAGGTATACACCCATTGAGAGATAAAGTGGCGGCTATCACAAACTATCCAGAGCCGACCACTGTGAAACATCTCCGCACTTTCAATGGCCTGGTAAGTTATTACCGAAGGTTTATCCCTAACTGTGCCTCTGTCATGAGACCACTAACAGATCTACTTCGAGGAACTGCGAAGTTCGTGTCTCTGGACAACGCGGCTAGACTTGCTTTCTCTAAAGTCAAGGAAGCCATTTCGAACGCAACCATGCTTATGCATCATGACCCCAATGCTCCTTTGAGTATTGCTGTTGATGCATCTGATTCAGCAATTGGAGCAGTTTTGCAACAGTTGACTGACAACCAGTGGCAACCGTTAGCCTTTTTCTCGAGGCGGCTGCAAGACGCGGAAACAAGATACAGTACATTTGGTAGGGAACTCCCAGCTATGTACTGTTCTGTACGCCATTTTCGACATTCTGTGGAAGGTCGTGATTTCATTATTTTCACAGACCACAAACCGTTAACGTCTTCCAGCGGCCAAGCGTCTGACAAATACTCCCCGCGTGAGTCGCGACAGCTGGTTTACATTTCCCAGTTCACGTCAGACATCGAGGGCGTTGATCTCGTTGAACTAGCTTGGTGTCAAAAGGGAGACCTTGAGCTGCATCATGAGTTGTCGTCCACAACTCTCAAACTGCGACTTTGTCCGGTTGGGTCAGGCAAGGATACAGTTTTGTGGGATGTCTGTGCTGGTCAACCACGCCCAACAGTTCCGTAGATTTGCCGACGCAACGTCTTCAATACGTTGCACAAACTCTCTCATCCAGGTGTACGAGCCACCATTAGGCTTATCGCACAACGTTTCTGCTGGCCTGGGATGAACAAAGACGTTAAGGAGTGGGCTCGGCTTGTCAAAGGTACAAAGTCACGCGACACACGAAAAGCCCTCTAGGCTCTTTTCTAGCCCCGGACATGCGTTTCGACCACATCCACATACATATTGTAGGACTCCTATCAGAATCTAATGGATGCACTTACATTTTCACTTGTGTTGATCGTTTCAAACGATGGCCGGAAGCAGTACCTATTAAGGATATTTTCGTCGAAGGATGGATCGCGAACTTCGGATGTCCATCCTACGTCACAGCCGACCGTGGGCGCCAATTCGAGTGTGGATTATTTCACGCTCTAACTGCACTTTTAGGTTGCACCCGGTTCCGAACGACAGCCTACCATCCACAAGCAAATGGCATGGTAGAGCGTTTCCATCGACAGCTGAAAGCTTCCCTTTCA